CAGACCCCGAGACATAGAACAGCAATTGAGAACGCGGCACGAGAAATTGACCCGCGCCGCACATTGCAAACCGATGTCTACAGCCGCCCTTACTTGCAGGTTTAAGGTATTGAAAAATAACATGTTTAGGGTTTAGGGTTTAGGGACCATCTTGAACCGTGCTTATAACCCAAGTAGAACCATACTAGGGTACTCGAGGGGGCTTCGAAGTGGGCTACAAGTACACATGCGGCTTGGGTTATAAGGACCCGGAACCGGAACCTGCAAGCAGACACAAACCCAACAACCCGACAACCCAAAAACCCAAAAACCCAAAAACCCAAAACCCAAAACCCAAAACCCTAAACCCAAACCCCTAAACCCTAAACCCTAAACCCTCTGTCAGCCCCGATGTCTGACCATGTAGGGACGAAATCCTCAACCCTGTCGAAAGCATAACTCCACATCAAGCCCGAAACCCTATGCAGCGACCCCCCCCTCCCCAAACCCCCGTAGAAACCCTAGAAACCCTAGAAACCCTAAAAACCCTAGAAACCCTAAAAATCCTAAAAACCCTAAAAACCCTAAAAACCCTAAAAACCCTAAAAACCCTAAAAACCCTAAAAACCCTAAACCCTACACCCTAAAACCGCTCAGCCCCAAAACCCTCGAACCCTAAGCATGAAATCATGAAATCACAGGCTCTGTCATGCCAGTTGTGTTGGCGTAACGACCCAGGCGGCAACGCTCACAGTGCGCATGGCCGGCCTTTTTTGGCGGGGGGGGAGGGGGGGGAGGGGGGCTGTAGAAACTTAGGCTTCGGTTCGAGGGTTTGGGGTTTCCAAAGTCTGTGAGGGTTTTATGGGGTTGTATGGGTATTTCCACAAATAGGGGGTGCCCCAAATAGAGGATAGAATTTTCTCGGAAATCACCATATGTGGATGTGGGGCCACAGAACTGCAAAATATGTACCAGATCAACCCCAGCAGCGTCTCCGGAGAAGGTCCCCACGTCACAGGCAACGCAGCCTGGCGTGGCAGCCCTAAACCCTAAGCCTTCTCCCTAAACCAACGAAGACTCTGAGCACAACTCACTCTGGGAAGTATAGAATTCCAAAACCCAGTAACCCTAGACCCTAAACCCTAAACCCTAAACCCTAAACCAAGTAAAGCATAGCATTCCAGAATCCAGTTCCCGCCTGTTTCGCCAAAGGAGCTTTGAAATGTACCCGCTGGGCATGGCGTACATCGATGGGTCGCCCCGACATCGTCAGACCTCGGAAACATAGGGTTTAGGGTTTAGGGTTTAGGGTTTAGGGTTAGTGTTTAGGGTTTAGGGTTCAGGGTTCAGGGTTTAGGGTTTAGGCGTTGGGGCTCAAGCAGTTTTCTCCAGGAAAGCGGACTGGCAGGCACAACAGCTCAATCGAATATGCTGTCACGACTGGACCTGTATTATGCCTATTCCGGGTGAAGAGAAGCAAGCTATAAACCGTAAACCGTAAACCCTGAACCCTAGCCCTAAACCCTAAACCCTCAACCCTAAACCCTAAACCCTGAACCCTAAACCCCTGAGCCCCAAACCCTTGAACAGCCCAGGTCTGAAGCCCAAACTTTGGACGTGCAGAAGGCAGCGTAGCAACAAGAACACGACATGGGCTTCAGTGGGGTTGGGGTTTAGGGTTTAGGGTTTAGGGTTTAGGGTTGGGGTTTAGGGTTTAGGGTTTAGGGTTTAGGGTTTAGGGTTTAGGGTTTAGGGTTTAGGGTTTAGGGTTTAGGGTTTAGGGTTTAGGGTTTAGGGTTTGGGGTTTGGGGTTTCGGGTTTAGAGTTTAGGGTTTAGGGTCTAGGGTCTAGGGTTTAGGGTTTACCCCGACCCAGGTCCCTAGCCTTTTCTCAAACAACCCTTGTGGCGGTCGTTTGATTAAGGTCTAGAAGCTTAGGCTGTTTAGGGCTTGGGGGTGCCCTAAGCCCTTAGGGCAGCCTCATGGGCCCTTAAGGTGGTCCCTTGCCGTCTTTGAAGGGCTCTGATGCAACAGCCCTTAATTTGCATAGGGTACATTAGGGGTGTATAAGGGGTACCCTTTTAATGGCCCATACTAAGGGACCATGGAACTACCCTTAGATAAGCCCCAATTTGAGGCTCAAAGTTGCAAGCCTCGGGGCCTTAGGCGGTCTTGTCGAGTTGAAGACAGGGGCTGGGGGGAAGGAGGAAGCGGGTTAATTTAGGTTGTAAGGGGGTCAGGGGCTTATGATTTCTCGGCTGCAGACCCATAACAGGAAGGTTCTGGAACCGAACCGGAACCGCACGAACCGAACCGCCACGAACCGAACCGCCAAAACCGGCCAGCAAACACGAACCGTAGGAACCGTGAACCGCAAGGGAACCGAAAACCGGAACCGTTTCGACAGCGAACCGGTCTCGGCCAGGAGCCCAAGTCAAATAGAGCATGGTACTGAAAGGTTTGGATCCCTCCAAACTTGTTTTGAAACAATCAAACTGTCGTAAAAACATGACTCGGTTCTCGGTTAACCCTCCAAAACTGAAGGGTCTTGGAGGTGCAAAGTTTTGAGATATCAAGGTTTCTATCCGGATGTTCAGCCTAGAATCAAGTTTTGGCCCCTTCAAACTCATCATTGGACATGTGCGCAGAGCCCAAACATGTCTGTCACGATTGGAGTGAAGAGGTTTTGTCGAGGTTTCGAGGTCCTTAAACCTATTTTGCATGGTCTCGGGGGCCAGAAAAATAATTCCATCACCGAAACTTTCTACTATTTCGGGGTACGCAGGGCAGGTTTCCAGGTTTGGACCTCCCAAAACGTGCAGGTTCCCCCCAAACGTGCAGGTTTCCAGGTTTAGACCTCCCAAAACGCGCAGGTTTCCAGGTTTGGACCCCAAACGTGCGGGTTTCCAGGTTTGGACCTCCCAAAACGTGCAGGTTTCCAGGTTTGGACACCCCAAACGTGCAGGTTTCCACCCAAAATGCGCAGGTTGCCAGGTTGGACCCCAAAACGTTGACGTTTCCAGGTTTGGCCCCCAAAACGTGCAGCTTTCCAGGTTTGGACCCCCCCCAAACGTGCAGGTTTCCAGGTTTGGACCCCCCAAACGTGCAGGTTTCCAGGTTTGGACCCCCCAAAACGTTAACGTTTCCAGGTTTGGACCTTTAAAATGTGCAGGTTTCCAGGTTTGGACACCCAAAACGTGCACGTTTGCAGGTTTGGACCCTCCCAAACGTGCAGGTTTGCATGTTTTGGGGGGTCCAAACCAGGAAACGTCAATGTTTTGGGGGGTCCAAATCTGGAAACCTGCACGTTTTAGGGGGGTCCAAACCTGGAAACCTGCACGTGTTGGCAGGTCCAAACCTGGAAACCTGCAGGTCCAAACCTGGAAACCTGCACGCTTTGGGGGGTCCAAATCTGGAAACGTCAACGTTTTGGGAGGTCCAAACCTGGAAACCTGCCCTGGAAACTGCACGTTTAGGGGGTCCAAACCTGGAAACGTCAACGTTTTGGGGGGTCCAAGGCTGGAAACCTGCGGCAGGTTTCCAGGTTTGGATCCCCCAAACGTGCAGGTTTCCAGTTGGACCCCCCAAACCTGCTTTTTCAGGTTGTTTGGACCTGCCAAAACGTGCAGGTTTCCAGGTTTGGACCCCCCAAAACGTGCAGGTTTCCAGGTTTGGACCCCCAAACGTGCAGGTTTGCAGGTTTGGACACCCCAAACGTGCAGGTTTCCAGGTTGGGACCCCCAAAACGTGCCCCCAAAACGTGCAGGTTTCCAGGTTTGGACCCCCAAAATGTGCAGGTTTCTACCCCAAACGTGCAGGTTTCCAGGTTTGGACCCCCGGAAACGTGCAGGTTTCCAGGTTTGGACCTCCTAAAATGTGCAGGTTTCCAGGTTTGGACCCCCCCAAACGTGCAGGTTTCCAGGTTTGGACCTCCCAAAACGTGCAAGTTTCCAGGTTTGGACCTGTTTGGACCCCCCAAACGTGCAGGTTTCCAGGTTTGGACCCCCCAAAACGTTGACGTTTCCAGGTTTGAGCCCCTTAAAGCGTGCAGGTTTCCGGGTTTGTACCCCCAAAACGTGCAGGTTTCCAGGTTTGGACCCCCAAAACGTGCACGTTTGCAGGTTTGGACCCTCCCAAACGTGCAGGTTTGCATGTTTTTGGGGGTCCAAACCTGGAAACGTCAACGTTTTGGGGGGTCCAAGCCTGGAAACCTGCACGTTCTCGGGGGTCTAAACCTGGAAACCTGCACGTTTTGGCAGGTCCAAACCTGGAAACCTGCAGGTCCAAACCTTCACGTTTCCCGCGATCCCGTGTCAAAGGGATCGCGGAAAGGTTGTGGAGTGTACACGACACAACAAAGACAACTTACTCTACAGGACACTAAACGTTAAGGTCGGCTTGCACTTGCGGACCTAGCCCTGGCACAAAAAGAACCCCAAACCCTGGTTGAGGGTTCCTAACCCAAAACTCAACGTTTGGGTTTGGGGGGTCCAAACCTGGAAACCTGCACGTTTTGGGGGGTCCAAACCTGGAAACCTGCACGGTTTGGGGCGTCCAAGCCTGGAAACCCGCACGTTTTGGGGGGTCCAAACCTGGAAACCTGCACGTTTTGGGGGGTCCAAACCTGGAAACCTGCACGTTTTGGGGGGTCCAAACCTGGAAACCTGCACGTTTCCGGTGTCCAGACCTGGAAACCTGCACGTTTGGGAGTCCAAACCTGGAAACCTGGCCTCAAGGAAAAGTTATGGGGAGTCGAAACATATCAGAAGGGTCCAGAACATGAGGGCTTCGGTGTGTTTAGGGCTTTCGGGTTTTCTGGAACCGAACCGAACCGAACCGAGTGCGCACAGAACCGTTAGGAACCGGAACCGCCGAACGAACCGAACCGCTACGAACCGCCGGCCCGGGAACCGACACGAACCGAACCGAACCGGAACTTTACTGCCATAAGGTTGTGTCAGAAAACACGTCATGCTTCTACGAAACTTCGAGGGTCTAGAGGCTCGCAAGTTGTCTGCTCCTTTACACACCTGACACCATTAATGAAACCCTAAACCCTAAACCCTAAACCCCAAACCCTAAGCCCTAAGCCCTAAGCCCTAAACCGTAAACCGAGGGGCAAGATCTCCGAGAACTTTCCGGCCAAACAGATGGAACATGCCACAGCGGCAGAGCGATTGGGGACGTGGTTCCCCACTTCATCTCTCAACCCATACCCTGGTAGGCACCTTGCAGTGAGTGCTGCAGGCTTGGGGTTTCGGATCTCAGGCATTTCCCTTATCGCGGTGGGGAGGAACCGACTTTTCGATGTGTGTGTGTGTGTGTATAAGGTTTCGGATCTCAGGCATTACCCTTATCGCGGTGGGGAGGAACCGACTTTTCGATGTGTGTGTATAATATATATATATATATATATTCATATGTATAACCTTTTGAAATACATAGTTGCTTCCAGAGAGAGCGTGCGGAAGAGAGACAGACAAATGTCGAAATGTACTCACCTAGACTATGGGGTTTCAAGGGGACTCTAAGGTCGGGAAAGGAGGAGTCTTCGGGTTTAGGGCTTGGGGTCTTTTCGTATCTGGAAGCCTAAACCTTGCAGGTTTAGGGTTCAGGGTTTAGGGTTTCGGGGGGTTGAGGGTTTAGGGTGTATGTTAGTATCTGGAACCCTTAACCTTGAGGTTTAGGGTTTAGGATTCGGGGTTCAAAGGTGTAGGGTGCTCCTGGAGATTAGGGCCCCTGGCATGACCCCTTTCTTGAAGTCTTGGCAGCACTATCCCTCAACCCTATAGACCCTAAACCCTAAACCCTAAACCCTAAACCCTAAACCCTACCATACACTAACCCCTAAACCCTAAACCTTAGCCCTCAACACTAAACCTTTGTAACCAAAGGGTACCAGACTTAGAGAACTGGCCATGTATGGCTAGCCCTGAACATGGGGAGTGCTACTTCGAGGGCCGATAGACCTACAGATGTTCAAACTCCTATCGCGTAACTGTTTAGGGTTTAGGGTTTAGGGTTTAGGGTTTAAGGGTTGCACAGAGATTAGGGCCGTATATCTTTACAGACAGTGTAGTCCAAAATTAACCAGTCCTACACAGCCGAAGCACTGAGTGTCTACTGGCACCCACTTCTTCCACCGAGCCCGGTTCTTACGAATCCACTCGCAGGCCACGTCTTCAACAGGTACAGCAGCCGCTACCTTGCGACTCTGTGGGGTGCTTTGGGGTGTTTGGGTTTTAGGGTGTGTTTTGCTGGTCTTTGCGGTGTTTTAGGGTGTTTTGGTTTGGGGTGACTTCGCGGGGTGTTTGGGGCGCAACCCTGAAACCTAAACCCTAAACCCTAAACCCTAAACCCTAAACCCTAAACCAACAGCGACTCGGAGCACAACGAGCTCTCGGATTCAAGCAGGCTTTCTGCTTTTTGGGTTTTAGGGTGTTATAGGGTTTAGGGTTTAGGGGTTTAGGGGTTTAGGGGTTTAGGGGTTTAGGGGTTTAGGCGCCACAAACCGTACACCTAGACCCAAGAGCAACCTGAAAATGCAAAGGGTGCCCTTCTTGTTTCAAAGGGGCTGACTATAAAGGAACCTAGACACTAAACAAGAGGAATAGAGGACTACTCTCGGGCCTAGTAGCCCTAAACCCTAAACCCTAAACCCTAAACCCTAAACCCTAAAACAAGGGAATAATGGCTTACTCGGGGTCCTAGACACCCAATAAAACCCTCCCACATCGAAGCCAGACCCCATGCCCGCCTGTTGGAGAAGGGCCTGCATGTCCTGTGATTCAGGGTTTAGGGTTTAGGGTTTAGGGTTTAGGGTTTAGGGTTTGGGGTTTGGGGTTTAGGGTTCTGGCTTCCCGGGGCTTACCTGGAAGATCGGAGGATGGAAAGTAGAAACGAACGAGAGTTCCAAGTACTCTAAGAGGGAAGGGTGCAGAGAAGCGACCCTAAACCCTAAACCCTAAACCCTAAACCCTAGACCCGAGACCCTAAACCCTAAACCCTAAACCCTAAACCCTAAACCCTAAACCCTAAACCCTAAACCCTAGCGTCCTCCAGGTCTAGGTCGAAATTCTCCAGGAACTCCTGTACTTTTGGGGCCACGCTCCCCAGCGAGTGAGCCACGAGCTTGGCGATGTAGCCTCCGAGATGGGCGTTGTGGGTTAGGGTTTAGGGTTTAGGGTTTAGGGTTTAGGGTTTAGGGTTTAGGGTTTAGGGTTTAGGGTTTAGGGTTTAGGGTTTAGGGTTTAGGGTTTAGGGTTTAGGGTTAACGGTTTAGGGTTTAGGGTTTAGGGTTTGGGGTTTGGGGTTTAGGGTTAAGGGTTTAGGGCTTGGTATATGGTGCAGGATGTAGGGTCTAAGGTTCGGGGTGTTCTTCTGAGATGGGGTTGAGCGTTGCTTCGGGGTTCACGGGTACTTGTAACCACGGCCGAGCTCGCCAAGTCATCCCCTGCCGAGTAGGACAACCCTGCGATTACACCCTGAACAGGGTTTTCGGATTCAGGTTGAGGGTTTAGGGTCTAGGGTTTACTGTAATGCTCCTCTACGACGTAGCCTTAAACAGCTTGAGAATGTAACGGGCAGCGTCCAAAACCATGGTCTCCTTCTAGCCTCCCTAAGATGATGTTTCTTAAGGGAGGGGTGTTCAAGGGTATCGAGTCCCAAGGCTACCTAATACTCCCCACTACTCCCTAAGGCTGAGCTTCCCGAGTATCTTCCCCCTCATGAAGGCCCCTCCCTTAAGAACCCCAATAAGATGATGGGAGCCCCACCCAGAGACTCCAATATCCCTTGATTCAGGTACAGGGTTTAGGACTTAGGGTTTAGGGCATTATTCGGATGCCCCAAGGTCTAGAGTAGAGCTATAAGTGCCCTCATTGGGGTCTTTACTTACTTGCTACGTCCCCCGCTCCGCCAAGTGGGCACTTTAGAGCCCTAAACCCTAAACCCTAAAACCTAAACCCTAAACCCCTAACCCCTAAACCCCTAAACCCTAACCCCTAAACCCCTAAACCCTAAACCCCTAACCGTCCCAGTGGCTCTGGGGGTCGGCACTTCTGTAGTTTCCCACAGCCCATTCCTTGACAGGGGGTTGAGGGTTTAGGGTTTAGGGTTTAGGGTTGAGGGGAAGAAACAGGATCCGCTGAGCTTCGTTGGACCATAGAAACCCCCAAACATGAACACCAAGCAACAAGAAAGAGTGGACACCAGGCACCGCGTTTGGTTTGGTGGCTCTTAAGAAATGAGATAACTTCTGCGGGCCAATAGGGCTATACGACTAGGGCCCACGGAACTCTCGTTGTTTTCAAAAACCACCTCAGGTTAGGGTTTAGGGTCACACCCTAAACCCAAACAGATGTGGACATGTCCCGGAATAGGGAACCCCCTGTAAAATGTACCCCAGAATAGAACAACTCTTCTTGTAAGAACCCCCAAGAAGGGTAAACCCTATTTTTTGGAAACTGCCATGAAGAAGACAACGTTAGGGTTTAGGGTTTAGGGTTTAGGGTTTAGGGTTTAGGGTTTAGGGTTTAGGGTTTAGGGTTTAGGGTTTAGCGTTTAGGGCCCAAGCTTCTTGGGCTTTGTGGCGCGGCAGCTGCAGCATGGAGGCATCCAGGTGATGGAAGGTGGCATCCGGTATCCACCAGTGGAAAAGCCTCAGATCTCTTTTGCCGGAGGTTTAGGGTTTAGGGTTTCGGGTTTAGGGTTTAGGGTTTAGGGTTTAGGGTTTAGGGTTCTGGGTTTGGGGCTTGGGGCTTAGGACAACTTCAAGGAGTTCTTACGTGGGGTACAGTGTTTATAAGGCTCCTAGTCAGCATATATAAGGGCACGGAGGGTGATGCACACGCGCACACACACACAAAAAAAAGAAAAAAAAACTGAGATGAACAAGCGCAAGTCTGAGCATCCTAGAAACACACGGAAGCCCCAAAAACCCTACACCCTAAACTCTGATGCCTACAACCTTCAACCCAACAAGCCCTAGGGCTTAGGGGGCTTAGGGTTATAATAATAATAACAACAACAATAACCCCAAACCCTTAACCCTAAACCCTAAACCCTAAACCCTAAACCCTAAACCCCTAAACCCTAAACCCCAAACCCTAACTAGGTCCTAGAAGCACCCGGAACGCCGCCACGTTGGCTGTGAACGTATCCCAGGTTTTCGAGATGCCGATGGCCGCCGGGATCTGATAGAAGGTGGACCACTGCATGAACACCTGGCATTGGGTTTAGGGTGGTAATAGTAATAGTAATAATAATCATAAGAGTAGCAATAATAATGGTAATAATATGAGTAATAATAAGAAGAATAAGAAAAATAATAATAGCAATAAAAACCCCAAGCCCTAAACCCTGAACCCTAAACCCTGCACGCAAACCCTGAACCCTAAACCGTCCTGTGATAAGGGTCAAAGGGTTCGGCCTGGCCAAAACACAAGCAACCTCCTGACACGCACACGATACACAACAAGACTAAAACCTATAAGTGTAAGCATGGGGAACAGAAAGCCTTCCCTACCACGAACCAGTACGTACACCCGGTGAAAGCCCTAAGGCCAGTGAGAGAAAGAGAGAGAGAGAGAGAGAGAGAGAGAGAGAGAAAGAGAGAGAGAGAGAGAGAGAGAGAGAGAGCGAGAGAGAGATTGGACGGGGAAGGGCTGGGGGAGGTGACTGAAACACTAGGCTGGGCTAAACCCTAAACCCTGAGACCCTCTGACAACAGTCTCCTGAGGCAGGCTAAGTGTTTACGGCTGAGAGAAACTAGAATCAGAGGAAATACAATATATATATATATATATATAATATTTCAAGAGCCTGCCTAGAAGAGTTATTTGGCACCCCCCCCCCCCCCCCCAAACCCTAAACCCTAAACCCTAAACCCCAAACCCCAAACCCCAAACCCCAAACCCTAAACCCTAAACCCTAAACCCTGAACCCTAAACCCTAAACCCTAAACCCTAAACCGTGGCTCTGTGTTTAGATGACCGGCTCACAAGCTTGCAGCATTCCACTCTCCAGCTTGGGTGTGTGGTCTAGGGTCTTGCCCTAAGGGCCCATGTACCATGCGATACACTTGGTTGAGGGTTTAGGGTTTAGGGTTTAGGGTTTAGGGTTTAGGGCCCGAAAACCCCTACGCAGGAGGTGCTTCAAGGCCCAAGTATTCGCGATTGCCCTTTGGGTTACACTCCTAAACCCTGAAAATACCAGCCGGGAGGCATACACAATCCATCCGTTACCAGCGGCGAGCACTGGAATGCACTCAGATGTGTTGTGGCGGCAGGCGGGTGAAATCCAAAAGTGGCCGTCGGGACAGTTCCTGGTCTGGCTGAGGGCGTTCACCCTAAAGACTAAACCCGACCCCCTAAACCCTAAACCCTAAAACGCAAAGAAGCTGGTAGGATTGGCCCTATAGACGAGGTTTTTGTTGCTTACAAAGGTTTATAAGGGACGAGCTTACAAACGGGATCCATATGATGTTTCAAAATCGTACAACATTAGGGTTAAGGTCTTAGGGAGAACACCCTAAACCCTAAACCCTGAGCCCTCACCAAAAGGAACAACAACAAAAAGGATACCTCTGAGTGTCCGAGGTTCGCAATGTACCCACTGTCCGTTTCCACCACCCCAGCCCAGTCACCAGTCCACTTTCCATAAAGCCTAAGTTTCGGGTTTGGGGTTTGCGGCCTAGATCAACCTAGGAACGGGCAGAGTACGCAGATTTGCTTGTTTAGAAGGGCATTAAAGGCCCTAACCCCAGAAACAAAAAGAGGGAATCGCAGCCGGCTCGGATTCCCAGAAACCGCATCTCGACATCGTTGGCAAACTCGTTGGAACTTGTGTTGCATGGGTGGAAGTGGCTCAGCTTCAGGTCCGAAATGCGATCGAAATATGCTGCCGCGTCGTGCGCGGAGACGTTGTAGCTTCTGTAGAACTCAAGAGCGAGGCCAGAAGAAGCATAGGCAGCCTCGCGAACCTTTGCCGGCGACATACGTACCCCTAAACCCTAAACCCTAAACCCTAAACCCTAAACCCTAAACCCTAAACCCTAAACCCTAAACCCCCAAAAACCTGAGGATTCAAGCCTGAACCATAAACCCTAAACACGCAAAGGCCCAAGGATCTACTACGATTACTTTGAAAAACTGCAGATCCTGCGGCTCTATCTCAAACCCCTGAGGTTGAACCGGCGTTTAGGGTTTAGGGTTTAGGGTTTGGGGGCCCTTTGCTTAAGAATGTCGGGGGAAACCTCTTAGGGGCACAACCTGAGGGGTCCAAGTATGACTTCCTCGAACCACATACCAAGAATAGTACCTACTACTAATTAATACTAATTTAGTATTACTACAAATTTAAGGTTATTTACGAAGGTTGCTATTGCCACTACTGTGATTGTTACCATGATTGCTACTACTTTGAAGAACCCTTTTGGTTTGGGGACGCTTTTTTCAGAATAGTAGCAGAAACCTCTTAGGGGTACAGCCTTCGGGGTCCGAAACCCTAAGCCCTAAACCCTGAACCCTTAACCCTAAACCCTGAACCCTAAACCCTGAACCCTAAACCCTGAACCCTAAACCCTGAACCCTAAACCTAAATCCTAAACCCTAAATCCCAAACCCTAAACCCTAAACCCCAAACCGCCAAGGGACGGATCCTCTCACAGCCAGGGCGTTCTCGCCCGAGTATCCAATGGAGCCAAGATCGATGGGCGCCACATCAGGGTTGGCCAGAACCTCACTTCCCCCCGCAAAAAAGGGGTTTAGGGTGTAGGGTTTAGGGTCCGCCGACCCTGGCGGCGTGTTGGATGGGTTTGAGGAGGTGAAAACCTCCCTCTTTCCCTCCTTACCCCCCCAAAACGCGGGGGGGGGGCGGGGTGGGGGGGGTCGGTGCACAATTTTTTCGTAGAGGACCGCGCCACCCGCACAGCGTAAGCAGGGGGTTCAGCACAGGGGGGTACCCCCCCGCCCCCCCCTACCCCCCCCGCCACCCAGCCGTCTTTTTTGGCCTGGCGCTACCCCCTACCCCCCCCCAAACGAACCACAGAACTCTGCCGAGCAGGTTGGGATGATCTTCGAACCATGCGAGCGGGTTTAGACCTCTACTATGCTCCAGCGGGGTCGGCGGCTTGAGCCGGAGGCTCTTAAATTTAGGGTGGCAAACAAACATTCCCAGGGCCCAAGAAAGAGTTCTGCATCGAGCAGGCAAGGAGCAAACTGTTCGAAGTTAAACAGGATCTCCGACATCCAGCAGTCCATGGCCACATGACCCAGCGCCTCAGAAGCGCGCGGCTTCCCACCCTATATACCCAAGAGTGGGCTGAGGGTTTAGGGTTTAGGGTTTAGGGTTTAGGGTTTAGGGTTTAGGGTTTAGGGTTTAGGGTCTAGGGTCTAGGGCTAGACTGAAGAGTAGCCTAGGAATAAATAGAGGTGCATCCCGAGCCCTGCATAGGGGTACCTTCTTACTTTTAATTTTACTTCAAGCCTTAACCCTAAACCCTAAACCCTAAACCCTAAACCCTAAACCCTAAACCCTAAACCCTAAATCCTACAGAACCCTACGCCCTAAACACCACATCGACCCAACACCTCAAAGCCCTAAAGGCTAGTCGGCCAAGCTACCCAAAGAGCCCACGCATTTGAGATAGCTGCGGTTTAGGGCTCAGGATTTGGGGTTAGGGTTTCTTTAACTTTCAAATTTTTCTTGGTATTAGTAATGCAGTTTGGGGCCTAAAAAGGGTCCTGTACATGGTAAAACTTGCAACTCCAAACCCTAAACTCTACGCCCCAAAACCCCAACGTATTTACTCAGTGGGTACATATTAGACCCTTAACCCTAAACCCTAAATCCTGAAACCCCAAACCCTAAACCCCAAACCCCAAGGCCTGGCCTGGCGCAGCGAGCAATCCTGCGTGGCGCACCCGGCCAGAGCAATAGCCCCCTCGAGGGATCCTGCGCTGTCATAGGATCCCCACAAGGGTTTCGGGTTGAGGGTTTAGGTTTTAGGGTTATTTTGGGTTCTTGGGTTGGCTTAGGAGGTAGGGTTGAGGGTTGACCCCTGACCCTGAACCCTAAACCTTAAGCCCTGAACCCGAACAAGCAACCGAAGGTCCAGGTGCGACGTCGGGCGTGAAGACAGCGTGGTAACCAAGCACCTCACCTCCGACACATCTTCGACTAGAGTTGAGAGCGTAGGCTTTCGGAGCCCTAAACCCTAAACCTTCAACCCTAAACCTTAAAAATTGGCCTTAAAAAACCGAAACGCAAGGGAATGAGCGGTCGAGGCGCGAATGAAAATTGCAGCAAGAGTGGAGGCGACCGCGGCGCTTGGCCAGTCGAACAGCACCTAGACCCAAGGGTAGCCTAGGAATAAAGAGGGTGCCCTTAAGGGGACTTCTTAGGAATCCTCAACCCCAAAAAAGTGGAAGGGCCCACTCTGGGTCTAGTAGCCCTAAACCCTAAACCCTCAACCCTAAACCCTAGGTCCTAGGCACCAGGCGAATTGGAGTCTCAGCTCCCAGGTGGGATGTATTGTCAGGATCCGGTATGAATCTCCTGCTATCTCCTTGGTAGCCCAGGAACCATCTGGGGTTTCCGAAGTTCGGGGTACCTTCTTGGGGTCCTTACTTGGGATCCTACTATTTGGGGGTCTATCGATTTTCGTACAGCCCCATAATAGAAATCGGGTACCCTGTTTTGGGGGGGTTGGTTGCTTTAAAAGGCTCATTGTTTAGGGTTTAGGGTTGAGGGTTTAGGGTTTAGGGTTTAGGGTTAAAAAAAGGGCAAATGGGTACTGCTGGCCTACCAGGCCTCTGGCTATTCCATCTGTCAGGCAGAGCAGATCAGCCAGGGCAACCCACCCGGCTTGTAGCAATAGTCCAGCCCAGATGCCTTGGCTGACTTCTGATTTAACTCGTAGGGTTTAGGGTTTAGGGTTTAGGGTTTAGGGTTTAGGGTTTAGGGTTTAGGGTTTAGGGTTTAGGGTTTAGGGTTTAGGGTTTAGGGTTTAGGGTTTAGGGTTTAGGGTTTCTACAATCAGATACCTTGGCTGACTTCTGAACCCCTCCGAAAAGGTTAACTTTTAGGCTCCTTTGCTGTAGTTTCTACAACCCTAAACCCTAAACCCTCATACCCAAAATGTTAAAGCCCTAAGGGCCAGGCAGTAGTCCGGCCCAGATACTCCCCGCCACGCCCATTGCTTGGCAAGGGGCGTAGGCAAGGACTGAGGCTCATGAGCCAAGAGATTGACGGCGCTTAGTTCTCACGGTAGGTACATGGCGTAGGTACATGGCCCCTTAAGTCTGGGCCCTTATAAGGTGACCTCTCATATACCCCTTAGATACTCTTTAAGGGACCATACAGCCACCCTGAAATTTGGGGCTTAGGGTTTACTGGGTCCTTGTTGGGGTGATATGAAAAATCATCATTTTTAGTCCTTATTGAATTTTTATCATAACAAAAATTTAAAATTAAAGCCAACAAGAACCCAGTTTAAGGGTTTAAGGGTTTTGCGGTTTTGGGGTTTTCGGGGTTGGGGGTTGGGGGTTACAAACCAGCATCGCTGCTGAGGGGAGGTCGGTCTGAAGATCCCATCTGCCCAAGTTGCTGAAGTCTTGGGCTTAGGGTTTAGGTAGGGTTCTGCATGGGGGACCTCCAAGCTGGTCATTCTTCCCGGGCACTTTTGCACAAGCTGTCTGATTACGGGGGTATTCTCGGCGGGGGCGCCGGGCTAGGGACTCTAGAGGGATTCTTGCCCATAGGCCTTTGTGGAATGAACATGTTGCTTTCAACTTCACTTACAATGGGGAACCGTTGTATACCCCCTCCATACCTTATAAAATCCAAGGGCTCATACTTCAGAACCATTCAAAGTGTAGGGTGGAAAGCTCGATGGACTTGCCAACTAGTTGCAACTAGGGCCCTAGAAGGGACCCTTAATCTTATTCCCCCATCTAACCCCTATATATCTATATATATATATATATCTTGTGATAGTCCCTATATACCGAAGTAGCCTCTAAATGAAGCCACAAAGAAGTCCTAGGGTCCCTTATACGGGTCCCGCCTTTAGTTCCTTGATTGGGGGAACCGTGTTTCGCACAAGCGATGAAAAAGGCGGGATGACACCCCCCAAGCAAAATCCTGAACCCTGAGCTCCTCAACTCCGAAACCCTAAGCCCCAAACCCTCAACTCCCAAACCCGAAGCCTCAAACCATAAATCTCCTAAACTCCGAAACCCCGAAACCCCAAACTCATACACCGAAGCCCTATACCCCTAAACCCTAAACCTCAAACTGCCCCGGGAGTCGGGCTAGTCTCACCGTTCCGGAGCGCCTGAGGACTAAGATTGTGAGAGCCCCTGGGTACTCTTGGGGCTCAGGATGTTGGAGCTTAATTAGGGTTTAGGGTTCAGGGTTTGGGGTTTCGGGTTTAGGGCTTGGGGTTTAGGAGTGTTAGGGCTTAGAGTTTTCCAACTTTGCACGGGTAGTTGCATGGTCCCTCAATATGGTTCTTCATCTTCTTTGGAAGGGTTCTGAAATACAAGCCCTTGGGTTTTATAGGGTATACAAGGAGGGACCCCCTTACTGTACTAACTGTGGTTAAGGGACTTATCACCTAATTTAGGATCCTTATAACCAATTTAGGGCTCTTATAAGTCTACTTATAACTCTACTGATAACTCTACTTATAACCCAATATAGGGCTCTTATAACTCTACTTATAACTAGGGGGCCCCTCCTTGTATGGGTTTCCCCACTTGATGGCCCATTTTCAGGAACCACGTAGCTGTCCTCAGTGGTTTGGGGTGTTTGGTTGTTTGCGGCTTAGGGCCCTTAACCCTAAACCCTAAACCCTGGACCCTGAACCCTACACCCGAAACCCTAAACCCTAACCCTAAACGGCTTAGGGCAGGAGGATTGATATCGAAGAAACAGACCCTATAAACCCTAGAAACCCTAGAAACCCTATAAACCCTAAACCCTAGCCCTAAACCCTAAACCCTAAACCCTAAACCCTACCCTAAACCCTAAACCCTAAACCCTAAACCCTAGCCCTAAACCCTAAACCCTAAACCCTAGCCCTAAACCCTAAACCCTAGAAACCCTATCAGAGGCTTAGAGTCCAAGTGGGGGGGGGGGGGGGGGGGGCACATGGAAGTTCTGGAGCTCTGGAGTCCCTTAGGGTTTAGGGTTTGTAGGGTTTAGGGTTTAGGGTTTAGGGTTTCTTTTGCCTGGGCCTTTGACATGCGCAACACTGACCTGCACCCTGTGAAGGGCGTTGGGCTCCGAATGTCGGGGTACTGACAGACGCAAGGCAAGCCCTAAACCCTAAACCCTAAACCCTAAACCCTAAACCCTAAACCCTAAACCCTAAACCCTAAACCCTAAACCCTAAACCCTAAGTCATGTTAACCCCCTGGACTGCACAGCCCGGCCCAGCCACGCGCATCTGGTGCTTTTCGACGCGTGGGCAGCCAGACGCAGCTCCACCAGATTGGTGTCGGAAGTTTGGCATCAGACATCTTCCGAGACCACTCGCCCTAAACCCTAAACCCTAAACCCTAAACCCTAAACCCTAAACCCTAAACCCTAAACCCTAAACCTTTAACCCTAAGTCTGAGAGGCCACAAGCCCTTGAACCAAAACCAAAACCGCTACACCTGAACCCCGTGCTTGTGCTATTTGGGTTTGGAGTTTAGTGGTTTAGGGCTTGCCAGGAGGTTCATGAACCGCTACCACTTGGGCCATGATCTGGGGAACTAGAATTTCACGTGGTGAGCAGTGTTTAGGGTTCGGGTCTAAACATTCAACAATCATCGAGAGGCGGCTGGGCAACTGCAAAGAAAAATATTGGGGCCGTAGTCATTAGAACTCAGGTCCCTTTTGAGGTCGTCATTGTAAGGGTGGGGTGCCGTGCTATATGAAGGACCGAAACCCTAAACCCTGAAACCTAAACCACCCATACACGCATCGACATGACTGCAGCGCCAGCAGCGACGCGTTGCATGTCGAGACACCCAGTCAGGTGTAACCAGGGCTCCAGTGGTACAGTGTAGGGTTTCGGGTTTAAGGTTTAGGGTTGAGGCTTGGGGTTTAATTAGGGGTAACCCTAAACTCTATACACTGTAGGTAAAGACAACATGGGTCATGATTGCTCAGAAAGCATTGGCTTCTCTCTTCAAACTTGAAACCTGTTGGTATGTTGGTTATGCATTAGGCAGCGATTGCATCAACAAAGGCCTCTGCAATATGAAGAGGAGACACTATGACATTGTGTATATATATATATACACTATATATATATATATATATGTATATAAAGTGTGGTCTATCAGAGAGCTGTGCGCTGGTGCCCCAAACCCTAAACCCAAACCCCCACCTAAACCCGAAACCTTAAACCCTAAGGACCTAACACCCTACCAGGATCGTCTCCATCTCAACAAAAAACCTAGCTCTTTCTAAGAGTAGTTCCGTGGTTTTTTAGTATGCGCCCGTCAAATGGCACCCCTTCTATTCCCCTGATCTACCCTACACAACTAAGGGCCCATGCATCAAAACTCTTTAAAGGAGGTTCGGGACCATACTAAGGGCCCATGAAACTACCCTCAGTAGATACATCGTCCCTGAATATGATCCCTTGCCTCCCTTAGAAAGGGTTCTGAAGTAGAGGGCCCTTGGTTTGTGTGGGGTATCCTAAACCCTAAACCCTAAACCCTAAACCCTAAACCCTACATCTTGTAAGGGTGCCCAAGTTTAGGCTTTTGGGTCGCCACGGGGTTGAAACAGGAAACAGTCACATCCGAGTCTGGAGTTTGGTGAGGAGGTTGAGGGTGGAGTAGGGTTTAGGGTTTAGGGTTTAGGGTTTAGGGTTTAGGGTTTAGGGTTTAGGGTTTAGGGTTTAGGGTTTAGGGTTTAGGGTTTCGGGTTCAGGGTGTAGGATTGGGAGTCTCCAAATATAAGGGGTTTAGGGTGTGGGGCTTACGGCTTAGGGTTTTGTAGGATCTAGGGCTTGAGGCACTTTGTACCACTGGGCGTGGAAGAGATCCGCCCAGGGAACAACGAGCACAGGCCCGAGCAAGGCACCCAGCTGGGAAGTTCAGGACTTAAGGCTTTAGGGGTTTAGGGTTTAGGGTTTAGGGTTTAGGGTTTAGGGTTTAGGGTTTAGGGTTTGCGGGTTCAGGGGTTTAGGGTTTGCGGGTTCAGGGGTTTAGGGTTTGCGGGTTCAGGGGTTTAGGGCTGAGCGGTTTAGGGGGTTCATGGAACATGCTTTGAGGATGATTAGAGCTGGGATTCGTTTTGGTATACCTTTAAGGTGTGGGGCTAGGGCTGTCACCCAGCTAGGGGTTCAGGTCTTAGGAGTTCAGGGACCTCGGGGTTTGGGGGGTAAGGGGTTAAGGGGTTTAAGGGGTTGAGGGGTTTAGGGGTTTAGCGGTTAAGGGGTTTAGGGGTTAAGGGGTTCAGGGGCTTAGGGGTTTAGGATTTAGGGGTTCAGGGGGCTTAGGGATTTAGGGGGTAAGGGGTTAAGGGGTTGAGGGGTTTAGGGTCTAGAGGGTAAGGGGTTAAGGGGGTTTAGGGGCTTGGGGGTTGAGGGGGTTGAGGGGGTTGAGGGGGTTGAGGGGTTTAGGGGTTAAGGGGTTGAGGGGTTTAGGTGTTAAGGGGGTTGAGGGGTTAAGGGGTTCATAGGGTTTAGGGTTTTAAGGAATTCAGGGTTCAGGGTCTAGGACTGAGGCGTCAGGGTTTAGACTGTCCTTTAATTGAGGGCATCGGATTCAGGGTTGACGGTCTTAGTGTTTTTTCGGGCTCAGGCTTGAGGCCTTTGTGGTTTGTGGGTTTCTGTAAACCATAAAACCCTAAAAACAAGCCCTAAACCCTTAACCCTACGCCCTAAACCCTAAACCCTAAACCCTAAACCCTAAACCCTAAACCCTAAACCCTAAACCTTTGAGAGCTCGGGGTGTTACGGGCGCTCTTAGAGACTACAGTTGTTGACCTTGGGTGTGGGTTTTTTCTGGCAGGATATATAGACCGATAGACCCTAAACCCTAACCCCTAAACCCCTAAACCCCTGAACCCCTAAACCCTAAAACCCCAAAACCCTAAACCCTAAACCCCTAAAACCCTAAACCCTAAAACCCTAAAACCCCTAAAACCCTAAACCCTAAAACCCTAAACCCTAAATCCCTAAACCCCTGAACCCCTAAACCCTAAAACCCTAAAACCCTAATCCCTAAACCCCTAAAACCCTAAACCCTAAAACCCTAGAACCCTAAATCCCTAAACCCTAAACGCCTTAACCCTAAACCCTAAATCCCTAAACCCTAAAACCCTAGAACCCTAAACCCCTAAACCCCTAAACCCTAAAACCCTAAACCCTAAATCCCTAAACCCCTAAACCCTAAACGCCTTAACCCTAAACCCGGGCATGCGCACCTTGAAGACTCCGCGGCGGTGTGGCGGACTCTTGCTTGAAGGTTCATGGGACTGAATAACCACTTATAACTGTACTTATAACCCTACTTATAACTGTACTTATAACTGTACTTATAACTGTACTTATAACTGTACTTATAACCCTACTTTTAATTGGGATAACCCTGTAAGGCCCTTTAGAGGTATTATACGTAGGGTTATAAGTGCAGTGATAATTGGTTAGTAAGTCCCATGAACCTTCAAGTGAGTTCAGATCCACAAGGGTCCATGCACCGAATGGTAAGGAGCAAGACAAAGAAAAGGGTTTAGGGTTTAGGGTTTAGGGTTCAGGGTGTAGGGTTTAGGGTTCAGGGTTCTGGGCGCAAGGTTTTCGGGTTTAGGGTTCATTCAGGGTTTAGGAGCTATGACAAGACAAGCAGAGCAAACAACAGAAGTAGTGTGATGAGGGTTGAGGGAACCCAAAGCATAGATACTTAGACCAAATGTAACGCCCAAAGGCCCATACTTCAGAACCTTTTACAGAAGGTAAGGACCACATGAAGAAAACCCCTAGACCCTAAACCTTAAACCCTAAACCAAAACCCTAAACCCTAAACCCATATTAAGTGACGATAGAACTACCCTTAGATAGACTCCTCTGTGGGGCAACAAGGCCAACCAGAAGCGCATGGACCCTTTGGGAAAAATGACGACCAGAGATCTCGCCGACAAAGAATAGGGTTTAGGGCCTTAGGGTTTAGGGTTTATTAGGGTCTAGCGGTTTAGAGTTTGGGGCTTAGGGCTTAGAGTTTAGGGTTCAGGGGTTTGGGGTTTAGGGTTTAGGGTTTAGGGTGAGCCCGCAGCTCGATCCAGTACGACCCTACATGAGGGGCTGAGGGCTGTGTGTGGTTCAGGGTTTAGGGCTTAGGGCTGATGGTTTAGAGGTTCCTTCTCAAGGACATGCTACCATACTAGGGGCGAGTCACCAGGGAGACCTCGAATTCGTCAAACTAAGCAGGCGGCTATTTTCTGTCTGCAGTTGCGCAGCACTTGGCCCTTCCCTCGTGGGAACAACTGCAGGCAAACAGAAGCCCTAAACCCCAAACCCTAAACCCTAAACCCTAAACCCTAAACCCCTAAACCCTAAACCCTAAACCCCTAAACCCCTAAATGCAAAAGTCGTCCTCCACAGGCTGTTCCTCTCGCAGGGAGCCCGTCGCTTCGGTTAGTCGAAGCCGAGAGCCTTAGGGTTTAGGGTTTAGGGTTTAGGGTTTAGGGTTTAGGGTTTAGGGTTTAGGGTTTAGGGTTTAGGGTTTAGGGTTTAGGGTTTAGGGTTTAGGGTTTAGGGTTTAGGGTTTAGGGTTTAGGGTTTAGTCAGGAGGTGCTTGCGTGCCCCCAATGCGTGTGCCCCATTTACTCGTGCTTGTTGCTCTCCCTTCTAAGAGTCGGGCTCTAAATCGCTTCAAAAGGCTTTAAATTGCTCTAAGCAACTTCAAAAGGCTCTATAACACTTTAAGCTGCTCTAAGTTGCTTCAAGAGACTCTAAAGTTTAAGAGCTTCGGCCGGTTGAGGAGACATAACAAATGTTCGCCTATTTTCGTCCAGAACATGCCAGCAGAGAGTTTCAGAAGCCTTGACTCATTGAGTGGAATAGCTGGCCCGCGCAGTGCCATGCCCTCAGTGCGATGAGCACGTTGTTCCATCAACGACGTTCCTTTCTTGGACTGGATGTCCATGTGCCCTGTGCCGGCTGCTGCTGACCATACCCAGTCACAGTTCATACTTCTCCAGCCCCATAAGCAAACCCTTTTTGAAACTAACAACCCTGCCCAACTTCCCGAACCGTCCCCACCCTACCCCCCCCCCCCTAGTCAAACCCTTTTGGGGCCTGCGAACATACAGCAGCCGCCGGAAGCTTGGGGTTTAGGCTAGGCCTTTGAAAAGGGTTGCTTCAGAGTTAAGCTATGAATTATTATTCGGGTTTAGGGGGGTCTGGTCTCGGTGACCGGGGGGTTGGGGTGCGGATTGAGGAAGGGGGGGGAAAGAGATTTAGGGAAACGGGGGCGCCCCCCGAAATCCCGCAAAACACGAGGGTTTTGGGGGGGTGCCCCCGTTACTCTAAAACACTCTAAGCTTCTCTAACCCCTCCTCCCCCCCCCCCCCCCCCCCCCCCCCCCCCCCCCCCCCCCCCCCCCCCCCCCCCCCTCGCCACGTCTGCCAGCTGGGCCATCAGGCGGCCAGCATGCCACTCGGACTGGATGTCATTGGCAGCCGGCACATGCAGCTCCAGTTCGAAGGTGCGTCGTTCCTTGAACAACTCGATCATGACAGAATCGCAGCCCCTGCAGCTCTGCAGCCGGAGCCAGGAATAATGGGCACCGCGCCGGCCATTGAAACTCACGCCGCGTTGCGCCGTCTTGCAGAAGTGGTATTTCCATGTTAGAATCAGCTAAAACATGCAACATCCCCCGAAATCGGCCAGAGCTCTTAATTTGCAAAATGTCTTAAAGCGATTTGAAGTGATATGAAACCTTTTATAAAGCTATATAAAGCGACTTACAGTGGCTTACTTAGAGTCCAACTCTAAAACTGCAGAGGATCAGGCGGGAGTAACGGGGGCACGTGGAAGTGGGGCACGCAAACTCCTCCTGATTTAGGGTTTAGGGTTTAGGGTTTAGGGTTAGTTTAGGGTTTAGGGTTTAGGGTTTAGGGTTTAGGGTTTAGGGTTTGGGGTTTGGGGTTTAGGGTTTAGGGTTTCGGGTCTAGGACCCGAGAACAAAAACCCCATTGGGGTCTGGAGGAATTCGGGGACTTGGGTTCAAGTTTGGAATAGGGTCGGTTGAAAGAAATCCCCTAAACCATGAAGGTTTAGCACAATAATACTTTTCAGATTTTCCTACGCTACCAGTGGAAGCTCTTCAGCAACCCTTCGAAATAATCTCGGGTTCGGGTTTAGGATTTAGGGGTGCAAAGGCCTCGGGCTGTACGGGCTTAAGGTTTTGGGGCTAGGATCTAGGTAGTCGGGCAGATAGGGCTTCGGGTTTCGAAATGTCACCATTCAACTTCCATGTGGTGACTACTGAAGCACCACAGATTTTACATCCTCAACCAGAATGCACTCTATACCCTTGAGCCCAATCCCTGAGCTCTTTAAGCCCCGTCGACGCCTCAAAGTCTTTAACTGCCTAAACCCTAAAACCTAATCCCCAAACCCAAACCCGAAAAAACCCTCAACCCTAAACGCCCAGAACCTGAGACTCGCGGGACACGCTGAACCCAGTGGGAAAAATGCAGCATGCGCGATTCTTAGTATGAGTATGGAAACATGAGACTCGCTAGCGAAAGACGAACTATGTGGACAACCAACGTGTCCATACATAAATATCGATACTGATGTCCTCGTATATATACATATATGAATATATATATATATATATATATATATATATATATATGTATATAATATATATATATATATGTATATAATATATATATATATGAAGAGATAACGGTACGTACACATCATAGATATACATGTGTATATATATATACACTACCATAATATATATATATATACACACAATACCTAGAAACAAGAGTAACCGAGGAATAAAAGGGGTGCCCTATTTTAAACCCTGAACCCTAAACCCTAAACCCTGACCCTAACCCCTGAAGCCGAATTGTCGCCCCAGGAGCTTTTCGACTGTAGTCGGAAGGCGATCTGCTTGACGCGCAGCTCCAGGTCCTCCTCCGAGCTGGAGTACCTTGAAGTACGAAAATTACGAGCTTGGCCATTTAGGGTTTAGGGTTTAGGGTTTAGGGTTCAGCGTTTGGGATTTGGGGTTATAGGCTTCAGGGCTTCTCTGACAAAAGGCTTGCCGAAAGGTCACAGTGTCGTTTGCACTGGGACAGAAGCCCGGCGGCCAAACAATACATCCTACACCCCAAGAAAAGAAACCGAAGCTCCAGAAAATGAGATGATCTTGAAGACATTGTTCAACATCTTGCCCTAAGTTTACACCTAAACCGGATTGAAACTTGCGGGCTCACAGCTCGATTTCGATGTGTCCCTGCCTTTGGGAGCTTTGCTGGGTACCCGAAGGGTTACAACACACTTGAAAGCCCCTTAGATGCCCCCGCTCCAAAAGCAAAAGCCACTTCTACCCTAGTCCCCATGAACCTCCGAGTATCCGGCACGGTCTACTGTTCAAGGTCCGGGGCTGACAAGAGGAGGCTCATAGAGGCTTTGGATGCTTTGAGTCGAATCACTCATTGACCTTTCAGCTCAATTTGCCCGAGCTGAAGCTCAACGAAACAAGGCTCCCAGCAACCTAAGGAGAAAAGAAGAAGGGCTGGGGGTGTTCAGGGAACCCCGCACCCACAAAAAGTAGGGAATACGGCTACTACCTGGCGTCCTCGGCAACCCAGATCAACTGTATGCTTCAGCCCCTTACTGCATCCTCCATGTTTGGCTGAGGATCGCCCGTGATTTGGCATCATGGTGTGTCGGGTTGTCTTTGAATAGCATTCGGTCCAAGCAGCACCAGAAAGAGAAGGGCTTTAGTGAAGCAAGCAGCCGCCAAGTAGCCATGCTTGTCTCGAAACACAAGACGAGCAACTCGAGGCCGGCAATTGTGCATGCATGGGGTGCCTCCTTTAGAACTTCGACTTGGGAAGCTTATATAGCGTACCTATGTAGGGACTGTACAAGGAAGCACTCGGTCAAAGGAATAAGCCCCTCTATTGCAGTACCTCGACCTGTCGACGACCTTTTGGCATGACCTGAGCACACCGTGCACCGTCAAGCCGCACGGGTCGCCATTCTTCACCAGGGAACGTGTTTTGAAAGGCAAACCGGACTTCCCAGCCTGCATTATCATCTCGGCCATTGCATAAAAGAGAAATCCGTGTTGGATCCAATCCTGTATAAGAGGCTGCAGCTTTGATTGAGGCAAACTCCTGCCAAGCCCCCGTACCTGACCGAAGTCGTACTCGGACCGCTTTGCCAATCCTTGGGCGTTGCCATCCTGCTCGATGCATGAAAGCGTGCCTCACATTCTCAGACCGTGTTACATATTCCAAATTGTTCACGTGGTTGTTTCCGCGGTTCAAGTCTTTGTGGTTTACGTGTAGCTCTGGCGAGCTTGGTTGGCCGAGGAATGTTGCGGCAACCAGGCGGTGCACCTGCATGTACCGTCCTCCCTTCGTGACCACGAAATATCCGTTTCTTCGTCGTGTGCCAAAGCTCATGACGTCTCTGCCATGTAAGCACTGTGAAACCCGTCCGTGGCTGCTCACCATGAGGTTACAAATGAGGTCAGCATGATCACCGACGTATGCAGCGTGTCGCCAGATCTCATCAGAGGGAGCGTCGCCACGGTCGACATGTTCAGGTCTCCTGAACTCGTACACTTCATCGCCCAGTTTGCTTCTACACTTCTTCACCAAACCTCGACAGGCTTGGGAGATCGAGGCCGGCCATACGTCCAAAAGCCTTCCAGCCTTTGCTTGCGATGCACACCAGACCCAGGCCTCATCTCCCAGCCGTCGCCACTCCACCGCCTTGCCAAGCTTTGAGGCTGCACACTTCCGATTCGAGTTGGTTGCCCACGCATGCTTCAAATTATCAGAAGGGGTCACGTATTGCAAATTGGCCGCATGGTTGTTCGAAGGATTTCCATCACAGTGGTTTACCTGCCAACACCGCGGATCTTGTGAAGGATCCAGAAACGCAGCGGCAACGAGGCGGTGCACGTAGTAGCTATGCGCTCCGATGCGCACGCAACAATACCCAGAGCACTTCAAGGAACCGGAACTAATCCAACCCTTGGAGTTTTGAACCCGTCCGTGAGAGCTCACCTGCCATGTACCCGAAATCCACCGCAGCTGCAGGGGCCACGTGTACGAGTACGAGCTTGGAAGCTTCCCAATTAAGGAAGTGAAGCGTCGCATGTGTGGCGCAACTCAGGTCTACATACAGTATAAGAGCACCAGCAGCAGCGGAATCGAGGAGAGGGTTATGGAGCGCTCTGCGTCGCCGTGTAGCACCATCTGTAAGCTCTCTTGGAACCTCAAAAGCCCTCAAACCCGAAACTCCATTACACCCTCCACCTGGGACTTGATTTGGAGGGGGGGGGGGGATGATTTGACACTTGACAATTTCAGCTCTGCAGATCGCAGCACTCCCTTATACAGCCATGCGTCCGAGGACAGCTCCTGCCCCGAAAGAAATAACAGCATAAACGGTGTCGTATGGGGCCCTACAAGCCCAAACCCCTCAACAGAGGCTAGAGGCTAGGGCCGGGGATTGGCTTAGAGCCTCTCAGAAAGCACCCAAGGTACGACTGAGGCGTGAAAACGGTAGCGATCTCTTGAAAAACCCCGCCGATGATCTCAGCGTAGCTCTGCAACCTCGGTCTGGGCGTAGAGATGTTAGGGCTTGTAGGGTTTTGCGGTTTGGGGTTTCGGGTTTAGGGGTTTAGGGTTTAGGGTTTAGGGGTTTAGGGCTCGAAAAAGAAAGAACTGCAACCTGGATCTTAAGTCCTTTTCGCCAACTCCGCCGCACGTCCACCCCACACGGCCGAAAGACTCCAGCATCCCATCGGGGTTGAGGAGTTTAGGGTTTAGGGTTTAGGGTTGAGGGGTTTAGGGTTTAGGGTTTAGATTTGGGTTTAGGGTTTAGGAGCTTAGCGTGTGGGCTTCCTGGCTCCTAATGAAGAATGAGCGAATGAGGTTCTCTATGGAATCCCTTCCAGGACAAGATGCGCGGGAAATTAACTCCCTATTCGCCACTTTAGGGGATACAAGGAGGGGCCCCCTTTCTATACTAACTGTAGTTAAGGGACTTATAACCTAATTTAGGATCCTTATAACCCAATTTAGGGCTCTTATAACTCCACTTATAACTAGGGGCCCCCTCCTTGTAGGATTAGGGGGACACTTGCGGATATAGACCCTCTCAATAAGGTCCCTCTTTAAGAGAGCCAGAAGAGGGTTCAGAGGGCTCCCTTTTCAGGGCCCCTTTATCCTACCTAGGATCCGAATTCCCCACAAAGAACCAGGGAGTACAGTTCTCATGACAATTGAGGAATGTGCTGGGGGGGTGGGTCTGGGGGCCCTATAAACGTTAACAATTCTATGGGCTGAAATGGGATTAGCGCACATAGAACTTCCACACCATTCCAAATGAACCCCGCTTCAATGATGCACAAATCCCTGAGCTTTACTTTCGGGTTTGGGACAGCCCGTGCCAGCTGAGTAGGACAGTCTTGGGTGGGAAACCTCGGGGAAACCTCGCCCCCCCTCCCCACCCGCCACTCAAAAACCCAGAACCCCTCAACTCGAAGCCTAAACTACGTAAGCCCGAAGCTCTAAACGCTAACGACCCGCCATAAACCCCTAAACCCCTAAACCCGAACCCCTAAACCCTAAACCTCGTGAGCCCTATACCAGGCAGCTGCGTCTTCGTCAGAGCTCCGGCTAGTCCAGCAGCTACGCGCTCGAAGGGCTCCGTAGGAACCTGGCGCATTCTCAAACTCCCCCTTTTCGGGGATGAAACGAACGGAATTAGGGTTTAGGGTTTAGGGATTGGGGTTTGGAGTTTGGGGTTTGGGTTTTGGGGTCTGGGGTCTGGGGCTTGTGGTTTGGGTTTACGGTCATGGCTCTTTATGGCATTTACAAGTGTATAGGGCCTCGGGTATGGGATCTCAATTACAGGCTTCATTTGGTCTCCCGGGTGCCCAAAACTACGAAAGGGGCGCTGGTTTTATTGGGGTTTAGGCCTTAGGGTCCTGAACCCTGAAATGATCCACAATACTTGAAGGCTCATGGCACTGACTCACTGGACAAAATGGGCTCCGTCTAAGCGCGTTGAAAGGCCTTGTTCAGGGTCCCCTCCAATTTTGAGTTTGCAATTGCAAGTTGTTGGTAAGTCCCCCTGCAATTTTGGGCATGTCCCAGAAGAGCGGTACCCCGTACCCCTTTTATACCGCTAAGTAAAGGGACCCCCAAAGGGCACCCGCTAACTTCGGAAAACCCCATTTGTTGAACCTGAGCAGGTCATTTTGAGATTTTGAGGTGCAGATCAATTGGAGGGCTTTGTGCATGAACCGACATCTTTGCAGTATAAGTTTCCCTAAGCCGTAAACCCTAAACCCTAAACCCCAAACCCCAAACCCCAAACCCTACCGGAATCAGTTCTACCAGCCATTCACTCTTTAGGCTTCAAGTGTCGCAACATAAAGATCATGCATGGGTCCCAACTTAGGGTTTAGGGTTTAGGGTTTGGGGTCTAGGCTTTAGGGTTTGTAGCGTTGATGGCTCAGGGATTTCTCAAGTATAGAGTATTGGGTTTAGGGTTAGGGTTTAGGAAATCCTAAACCCTAAGCCCTAAACCCCAAACCCTAAACCCTACACCCTAAACCCCGAACCCTAAACCGTAAACCCTGACAGCCAGGGAACTGCGAAGCCGGGCTCAGCGATGATCGGAATGATGGACGGCCGAAGCGGGGCAAGGTCAATGAGCCAAGTGGCCAAGTCTTCAGACTCAAAGCCTGGGTTTAGGGTTTAGGGTTTAGGGTTTGGGTTTAGGGTTTAGGGTTTAGGGTTTAGGGAGTTTAGGGTTCAGGGTTCAGGGTTCAGGGTTCAGGGTTCAGGGTTCAGGGTTCAGGGTTTAGGGTTTAGGGTTTAGGGTTTAGGGTTTAGGGTTTAGGGTTTAGGGTTTAGGGCCTAGGGTTTAGGGTTTAGGGTTTAGGGTTTAGGGACTCAAGACCTGAACCCTAAACCTTAAACCCTACTCACGAAGTGCCCCCTCCAAGTACGGACCTAAGATCGCAGTAGAGAACTGGAGAGCACTCCGTGCTTAGGCTTGAGCTTGTGGGTTCAGTGGCCTCAGGGTTTTAGGGTTGTAGGCTTTTAGGTTTTTAGGGTTTTAGGGTTTTAGGTTTTTAGGTTTTTAGGGTTTTAGGGTTTTAGGGTTTTAGGGCTCAACCCTAAAGCCTGAACTCTTAGTGGTTTGGGGATTTAGGCTTTGGGGCTCAGGGTTTGGAAACCAAATCCCCTCTTCGCTGGGGTGCCTTAGTTTAGGGTTTAGGGTTTAGGGTTTAGGGTTTTAGAGTTTATCAAGAGCCTGGAACAGAGGGATGCTTCTGGTCCCTGTAGTTTTAATTCGGGAAAACACCACTCTTGAGCTACCGGCTTACGAAGCTCAATACACCCAAGAAGGCCAACAGATTTAGGATTGAAGTTGGGATTTTCACCCTTATACTGACAGTCCTTAATAGGGATTATAGTCGGGGGTGCTAGAATCCCTATTACGGACTAGTAGTGCAAGGGGGAATATCCCAAGATTGAGGGTTTAAGGGGCAAAAGCTAAGCCGTGCGGCAGCCAGAAGAGCAAATGAGCAGTGATTTCCTTAGCTGGGTTTAGGGTAGGGTCAGGGTTTAGGGTTTAGGGTTTAGGGTTTAGGGTTTAGGGTTTAGGGTTTAGGGTTTAGGGTTTTTAGGGTTTAGGGTTTAGGGTTTAGGGTTAGGTTTAGGGTTTAGGGTTTAGGGTTTAGGGTTTAGGGTTTAGGGTTTAGGGTTTAGGGTTTAGGGTTTAGGGTTTAGGGTTTAGGGTTTAGGGTTTAGAGTTTAGGGTTTAGGGTTTAGGGTTTAGGGTTTAGAGTGTAGGGTATAGGTGGCGACCAAAACCCCAAAACCACAACACCGCACTCGGAAAGTGGGGCAGGGAGGAGGGGGGGGGGGGGGGGCGGGGTGGGGTTACCCTTGACCAGATTTTTATATCTACATATAGAATATATATATATACACACATAACATATATATATATATATGTATATATATATATATATACACATGAATATATATATATATATACACACATAAACATACATACATACATACACACATATATATATATATATATGTATATACAAATATATACGCATATACATATACATACACACATATATATATACATACATATATACATGCTTAAACCCCAAGCCCTAAAGTCAATGTGCAGCTCTTTTGGGGTTATCTTGTTCTGGTACCCAGTCTCAGCTCTCAACTGATTTAACCCTAAACTCTACACGCTAAGGCCAGCAAACATGTAAGGTTTAGGGTTTAGGGTTAGGGTTTATGGTATAGGGTTTAGGGTCAGGGTTCAGGGTTTAGGGTAGAATTTAGGTCCCTTAGCGCCGTGAGATGGGTGGTTACTAATGATTGCTTTTAAGGTTACGAACGGCCATTATTATTTACAGTGTTTAGGGTTCGGGTTTCGGGTTTAGGGTGCAGGGTTTCGGGTCCAAAAGGGCTAAGGATCTAATTGTGCAGGAAGAGTGACGCAGATGACTTGTCGTTTTGTAGTTAGTAAGGTAGTGGGGGGGCTTCGTCTCCGTGTCGACCTCCTAAGTGAACGAAGGTGTCAGGTGGGTAGTTGCAGAGTATATGTAGGACGCTTATACAGAGTACCAGGTTTACTTCGTTGTAAGACTCCTAGAAAGGAAACTACCCACCTCTGACCGAAAACCCTAAACTCGACACTTCCAAAGGGACCGGAAAGCAAAGCGGTTTGGCGTTTAGGTCAAAGGAAGCTTCCGGAGCCTATAAAAAGCGTGCCCCTGTCACATAAGATCGGGTCCCTTGGGTAAGGAGAGTATGTAAGTTTAGGTGTTTTTCAAGGAGAGGCTATGTAAGATCAGGTCGTGTGGGTAAGGAGAGTACGTAACCTTTGGTGTTTTTCAGGGAGAGGCTAAGAGCAGGCTGCCTGACTTCTAAGTTCTGGTGTTTTTTGGCAGATGCTGCATGGGTCTCCTGCACAGGTTTGTGCGGGCTTCAACACGGGCCTCCTACGGGGACCCTTGGCAACTTGCGGGCTGCTTACGTGCCACTTACGTGCCACTTACCACTTACGCGCCACTTACGGCCACTTACGTGCCGCTTACATGCCACTTACATGCCGCTTACGTGCCGCTCAGGCCCCTTGCGAACTTACGGGCCCCTCATGGGCCTTCGCGCCACTTACAAGCCTATATAGAGCCATTCGCGAGCCACTTACGGGCCTCTGGCTGCTTCGAGCCTTCTGCGGGCCTGGTCTTGGAGTTCGAGCGACGAGAGCTTGCGTGACGAATGCTGCGCCCGTTCGACTGACAAAAAAACGGGGCCCTGACTAACCCTGGATCGGGTTGAATTCTCACGAGAGCTTACTCAAAGACAGGGTCGACGCAAAAACATGCTTACACAGGATAGCCAAGCCTCAGCCCTTTTTGACTTTACAAGCTTCTCATTTGCTCTTCCCCGAGACATCCCCTCACATGTGCCTCACATGCCACTCACCAGCCACTCACCGACCCAACCGCAACCGCTTATATGATAGGGGCACGCTTTTTCTAGGCTCCATATTCTTCCTTTGATTAGGGTAAACCCTAAACCCAAAACCCTAAACCCTAAACCCCTGGAGTTGAGGGGTTTAGGGCTGAGGGGTGCACAGCGTCTGGAAGTTCTCTGGAATGCCATCGCCCTTCTTCAGAACCAAGGGGGCATTGTAGCGCGCCGCGGTGCCTCAGATCCCCAGCAGACTGCAACGTTTCAGGGCTTAGGGTTTAGGGTTTAGGGTTTAGGGCTAGAGCCAAGAGTGACCTAGGAATCAAACAAGGGTATGCTTTTTGGCTTAAAGGGGCTTATACGGCATCCCAAAGAGGGACTCCGGCCCTGCTCTGGGTCTTTGCTGCAGCATCCCTGCACCCTGAGCCCTAAACCCTAAACCCTAAACCCTAAACCCTAAACCCTAAACCCTAAACCCTAAACCCTAAACCCTAAACCCTAAACCCTAAACCCAAGGACTGTTCTGTTACCTGATACGAGGACCCATAGTGCGACTCATGGAACATTTCTGAATCTTTCAGTCTAAACCCTAAACCCTAAACCCTAAAACCGGCGCCCCATATGCAGCGAGCAGGGGCCTCTTGCAGTGATCCAAGCACATGTTGACATCTGGGAGGACCGTTTTGAAAGAGGAAGGGCGAGGAAGCCGGCCAGGACAGGGGCCGCTCAAACACGGAGTCTTAGGGTTTAGGGTTTAGGTTTTAGGGTTCAGGGTGTAGGGTTTAGTGAAACGGGCACGCAGAAGGACCACAAGTTTACTTGGAGGATCCGGGGAGCTTAGCGTGCCGTTGTTAAGTAGAGTTCACACGTAGGATAACCCCAGTTCTACTATTTGCGTAAGAAACCCCAAACATAAAAACTACTTATGCCTATATTACCCTTAGAAGGAGGTTGTTGCTGTTTTTCATTTTTTTTTTGGGGGGGGTTCTTAAGCAATCAGTAGAGTTGGGTCTCTTTTCGGGCACTTGCAAGGCTTCAACTTATGTCACTAAGTCCCCCGCGCCTCCAAGAAACCTTCATAGACACAAACTCAGAACCTCGGCCCTGTAGGCTTCGGGCTTAGGGCTTAGGGTTTGGGGTTTGGAGTTTAGGGTTTAGGGTTTAGGGTTTAGGGTTTAGGGTTTAGGGTTCCCGAAGACCCTTTGCAGCAAGAGTTGCTTGACAGGAGCAGCTCGACAATCACGTAAGCTGTGGCGACGGCTTCCTGGCCGGGTTTAGGGTTTAGGGTTTAGGGTTTAGGGTTTAGGGTTTAGGGTTTAGGGTTTAGGGTTTAGGGTTTAGGGTTTAGGGTTTAGGGTTTTAGGGTTTGGGGGCAAGTTCTCAGCCTGAATGCCAAGCCCTGAAATCTCCATAACCTTCTCAAAAGCCTTCGGCCCCACACCTAAACCTCCCGCAACCCTATGTGATCATAAACCCAAGCCCCAAATGCCTTGTACTCCCCCAAGGCCGTAAATATGATATATTTAGTACATTCGTTTATATACTCCCTTCGGCTGCAAGTAGGGAATGGGGGAATTAGGCACCTTTGTAAAGGCATTCTACAAGCTGCCTAATACTTAGAACCAGTAAGCAGACCCTAAACCCTAAACCCAAAACCCAAAACCCTATACCCTATACCCTAAACCCTAAACCCTAAACCCTACGGTAAGAAAAAGTGCCTGGTTGCCAGGGTCGGCGAGGATGATGACGTCCGGCGTTCGGGCCTCCTCTGCGGGGGGCCCGGGCCTCCCGGTCAGAGTGTCGCAGAGGTGGCCCACCACTTCCTGGGGGAAAGTTTAGGGTTTAGGGTTTAGGGTTCAGGGTTCAGGGTTTAGGGTTTAGGATTTAGGGTTTAGGGTTTCGGGTATAAGGTTTCGGGTTCAGGGTTTCCTGGTTTTTGGATAGGGTGCAGGATTTAGGGTTTAGGAGGTTGCTCTTGGGGTACAGAGGCATAGGGTTCAGGGTTTAGGCTGTAGTTTCCCGGATCCAGGGCAATTTAGCCTTTAGGGTCTACGGCTTTACTGGCTTCAGGCTTACCCTAAACCCTAAACCCTAAACCCTAAACAACCCAAATTATGGTTCTTGCGTGCCTGCTTACCCTAAACCCTAAACCCTAAACCTAAACCCTAAACCTAAACAACTGGTTCTTGCATGCCTGCACCTCCATGGATCTCAAAACATCCCCAAACTGGTGTGTTGAAAGTGTGTAGGGTTTGGGGCAGTTAAGGGGTAAAGGAGGGACGCCTAGAAGGGGCGGGGCCCTTCTTATTAGGGTCCCTCCTTTAGCCCCTTGATATAAGGACTGCCCAGTTACCTAAACCCTCCGAATATGTGGCCAACGATAATCCTTTTGCCATTCAGGGGTGTTTGTTTTGAGCGTAGGAGATGAAACAATTTTCCACCCTAAACCCTAAACCCTAACCCTACACCCTAAACCCTAAACCCTTAATATCGTTCACGACGCAGCCCTAGTTCACATTGGCATGACGAAGTTCGCAGCCCGTAAACTTGATTGAACAGGATTTAAGTCGACGTGGGGCAAGATAGCTTAAACCCTATAAACCGTAAGCCCGCATGAACCCGTAAACTTACATCCCCTACCCCTAAACACTAAACCCTAAACCCTAAACCCTAGATCCCAAACCCGTGCCAAGCCACCAGGCTCCATGACCCTGGAACCGCGATGGAGTCAACCTTGGCTGACTTCTGCACCACGCCTACAGGGCTTAACTTTCAGGCTCCTTATTGTAGTTTACACAAAACCCCAAAAGGTTGAAGTCCTAACCCTAAACCCTAAACCCTAAACCCTAAACCCTAAACCCTAAACCCTAAACCCTAAACCCTAAACCCTAAACCCTAAAACCCCAGCCAGAAGAAAGCCAAGAACCGTCTGGAACCATCGCAACGTCTCGGCCACATCGTCGAGCGAGATGCTGTAGGCAGTCAGCGCTTCGACCTGAGTGAGGGTTTAGGGTTTAGGGTTTAGGGTTTAGGGTTTAGGGTTTAGGGTTTAGGGTTTAGGGTTTAGGGTTTAGGGTTTAGGGTTTGGGGGAGGGGCTAGGTAGTGTAGGTTTCGGGTTTGGCCTAGGGTTTGGGGCCCGGGGCTGAGGGCTTGAAGCGCTAGCGCAGGAGAATATTTGGGGCTTTGTGTCGGATTCAGGGTTTTTAGGCTTGGGATTTAGGATCCAGCACTACCCTATCTACCCTAAACCCTAGCCCCAAAACCCAAAACCCAAGCCCTAAACCCTAAACCCCAAACCCTAAACCCTAAAACCCTAAAGAACCACAAGCATCTACTGAGATGCTGCTTGGCAACGCCGGGTATGGCGAACGTGAGATTCTGCTGGAATGCCTCCTGAGAGTTGGCAAAGAACGGACGAGACACAAGTAGGTTGTGATCCTACACCCTAAACCCTAAACCCTAAACCCTGAACCCTAAACCCTAAGCCCTAAAACCTGAACTTTCAAACCCTGAACCCTGAACCCTACACTTCCTTGTGGGTTCGGTTCCTACGGTACAGCAGGCCCTCGAGCCGAACTCACGTTGCCTCAGCGCTTCTTGGCGTATGATGGCTTTGGGGCGTCTGGCCTATACCTATATAGACCCTAGACCCAAAACCCCTCAACCCTTCACTGAAGGCCCTTCACCCTAGACCCTTAAACCTTCACCCTACACCCTAAGCCCTAAACCTAACCCTAAATCCTAAACCCTAAACCCTAAACCCTAAACCCTAAACCCTAAACCCTAAACCCTAAACCCTCCAGACTCAGAAGCAAGCTTCGTTTGGGTCCGTGTACTGGGGCCATCTCAGGACCACGGTACGAATGCTGTGCAGCCTCGCAGTGACGATCTCGCCGATGCACCACTTCCTTGGCTGACTTCTGAACCCCTCCTAGCCCTAAACCCTTAACCCTAAACCCTAAACCTAAACCCTAAGCCCTAACTGATTGTAGTTTCTACAAAAACCCCCAAACAAGTTAAAGTCCTAAGAGCCATGGCCAGAAGTAAGCCAAGCTTCCGGGCCAATATTCCAGGAGTTGCCAGAACCACCAAAGTTTCGGTGTCTCTCACCTGGGCAAGGGCCCCCCACACACCCCACCCTAAAAAGCCTTTGGGGTTTAGGGCTTAGGGTACAGGGCTTAGGGTTTAGGGCACCTTAGCGCCTTCCGAAAGATATGTCCTACATGTGATCCTCTTAAACCCAAGCAGGGGACATAGAAAATGTCCCAAGGGCCTACCCAGCCACACAGGAAAAGAGCTCCGTGAGAACGCTAAGGTTGTCAGTGTCTAAGAAGGTGGTGTAGCCAGAGCCTCTCTTCTGCAGCTGTATCTTCAACAGCCGCGCGATTCCTCCGGCCGGTTTAGGGTTTAGGGTTTAGGGTTTAGGGTTTAGGGTTTAGGGTTTAGGATTTAGGGTTTAGGGTTTAGGGTTTAGAGCGATTCCTCCGGCCGCCCTCTTGTGGTGAGAGAGAAAAAACTTCCACGGCTTCCGTCGCAGCCGCGCGATATGCAGAATCAATCCAAAGATCATGGCTGCGCCGATGGCGAAAAGCCTGCTTGTGGAGGTTCAGGGTTCTTAATGGGGTTTAGGGTTTAGGGTTTGGGGTTTAGGGTTTAGGGTTTAGGGTTCAGGGTTCAGGGTTTAGGGTTTAGGGTATCTTACCATCTGTTATACCCCCTTTCCCCCCCCCCCCCCCCCCCACCCCCCCCCCCCCCCCCCCCCCCCCTCTAGCCCCCATATAATTACCCACCTTATACCTCCCCCCCCCCCCTTAGACCCACCTACCGCCCCTTGTACCCAACCTTATAATTATAATACCACCCCCTTTATACAGTCTTATACCCACCTTGTACCCCCCGCCTTATATCCACCTTTTTACTTTTACCGCCCCATGGGTACCCAAGAAACATGATCAGCAGGAAGACAAGGCAGATGATGGTCGCCGTCAGCGTGTCTTTGTTCGGACTCTCGAACATGGAGGCCACATCCAACACCACCTCGGCGGCCGAGCAGCTCGCCATCGTCTTCAAACCTCTAAACCCTAAACCCTATATTACCCTAAAGCACCCCCCGCCAAAAATAAAAAATAAAAACTTAAACCCCATAAGCCCCTAAACCCTAAACCCTAAACCCTAAACCCTAAACCATGAAGCCCCAAAAGTCCCCTAAACTCAAACCCCGCGAACCGGGTTTGAGTTTGAGGCCGATGGGATGGAGAGTAGGGTTTAGGGTTTAGGGCTTAGGGTTTGGGGTTTAGGGGTTTAGGGGTTTAGGGGTTTAGGGGTTTAGGGGTTTAGGGGTTTAGGGGTTTAGGGGTTTAGGGGTTTAGGGGTTTAGGGGGGTAGGGGTTTAGGGGTTTAGGGGTTTAGGGGTTTAGGGGTTTAGGGGTTTAGGGGTTTAGGGGTTTAGGGGTTTAGGGGTTTAGGGGTTTGGGGTGTAGGGTTTCGGGTTTAGGTGTTTGGGGGGGCAGAAGAAACGTGAGGTCTGAAACATCGTCATGGTGGACGCGTGACCTCCAGAGTCTTCATCGGAAAACCGAAGAACCCTAAACCCCAAACCCCAAACCCTAAACCCTAAACCCTAAACCCTAAACCCTAAACCCTAACTGGGGGAAGGTTTGGTGGCCGGAGAGAAATATGAAAATCTCTGTGGGGACCGAACAGGGCCTACAGGGGTTCAAGGCCCACAGATTCTACAGAACTTTAAGAGATAGACCAAATCTTAGGGTAGTTGCATGGACCCTAAACCCTAAACCCTAAACCCTAAACCCTAAACCCTAAACCCTAAACCCTAAACCCTAAACCCTAAACCTAGCATGGGCCCCTTAACAGGGACCCCTTATGTACCCCTTAAGGGCCCAAAAAACTACCCCAATCAACCACAGCAAGCCGTAAGCCTTGAACCCGAACCCTTGTTTAGGGTTTATAGGATTTAGGGTTTAGGGTTTGGGGTTTAGGGTTTAGGGTTGTAGGGTGTATAGGCTTTATAGGGTTTATAGAGGTTATAGGGTTTATAGGGCGTATAGGGTTTATAGGGTTTATAGGGTTTATAGGGTTTATAGGGTTTATAGGGTTTATAGGGTTTAGGGTTACAGGGTGTATAGGCTTTATAGGGTTTATAGAGTTTATGGGGTTTATAGGGTTATAGGGTTTATAGGGTTTATAGGGTTTACAGGGTTTATAGGGTTTATAGGGTTTATAGGGTTTAGGGTTACAGGGTGTATAGGCTTTATAGGGTTTATAGAGTTTATAGGGTTTGTAGGTTTTATAGGGTTGATAGGGTTTAGGGTTGCGAGGTTTCTGGGGCTTGGCTTTCGGGCTTAACTTCTCGGGGCTCTTGGGAGTGGGCGCCTTAAAGGAACAGCATAAACCAGCCCGTGACCCTTGCCCTCTGCAAACCCAGTTGCCAGCAGGCCAATGTGCAAGATGATGTCCAGCACATTGCCTGGGCTCACTCATACCGGGTTTACGAAAATAAGGAGCCCTAATATAAGCCCTCAAATAGTAGGATTCTCTTTTGAATAGACCGGAAAACAGAACCCTAAACCCTAAACCCGAAACCCTAAACCCTAAACCCTCCGCAGGCAGCTTGTGGTCCCTTTTGGGGACAGTTTTTTTTTTGAACCCTAAACCCCGAACTCGAAACCCTAAGCCTCCAACAGCGGTCCTAAAGCCGTAGGACCCCAAAAGGCCCCCAAAGCCGTAAGCATGTTGTCAGGACGAGGCTTCTACAAGAGTTCTATATCGGGAGTGAGGGGTTTAGGAGTTCAGGGTTTAGGGTTTAGGGTTCAGGGTTTAGGTTCTAGGGATATTGGCCAGAAGTATATGGGGCAAGCCACCCACCGAAAATGTGCTTGGAGTAATCCTCAAGATCCCCAAACCCCCACCACCATGAAGGGCACACAGCCTGGGTTTAGGGTTTAGGGTTTAGGGTTTAGGGTTTAGGGTTTAGGGTTTAGGGTTTAGGGTTTAGGGTTTAGGGTTTAGGGTTTAGGGTTTAGGGTTTAGGGTGTAGGGTTTAGGGTTGAGGGTTGAGGGTTGAGGGTTTGAAGGGGAAACAGGGTTCAGGGGCTACCGTCATCAACATTTCCCCATAAGGAAGGCCGTCACCAACAATTGCGCCCAAAACCCTCAACCCCAAGCCCTATAATCCCTGAAGGGTCGGGCTTGGGATGTGGGACCAATCCCCAAATCAAACCCTAAACCCTATGCCCTAGTTGCTGAGTACACTGGGCCAAAAGAGGTTAACCTTCCAATTCTGGTAAGATTCTATATACCCTAGGTTACCTACTCAGCTACAAAGATACCCTAACCCCCGCAAAACCCTAAACCCCAAACCCCAAACCCCAAACCCTAAACCCTAAACCCTAAACCCTAAACCCTAAACCCTAACCACCATGGGGCGGACGTCTCCCGAGAGCGTTGAGGACTTATATAACTGGAGGTGGTGTTGTAGTAAAGACTTGGGTTTCAACTTCCCGGATTCTGATCAACTCGGGTTTAGTTTTAACTAGGGTTAAGGGGTTTCGGGCAGAAGGTGCTGCAGGGGAAGTTAGGTGTCTGGTCTCAGTTGTTCTTGGCTGCACTTAGGAGGCTAGCAGAAAATTAAACTTTTAGCTGCCTTCTTAGGAAACCGAATAAAACCAAAAAGGCTAAGGATCTAAGGCTACAGTAAAGCACCACCAAGTTGTTGAAGCCACCGCAACATCTCCACAACCTCGCAGAGACAAGCTGCACCATCCAATGCTGCAACCACCACCCCTCATGCATCTGCTTAAGTCTTCTCCACGCTTTAAACCCTAAACCCTAAACCCCAAACCCTAAACCCTACACCCGAACCCTAAACCCTAAACCCTAAACCCTAAACCCTAAATAGCTAATCCGTGTCTGTGCAAAAACATGCGGCCGCGAGCTGCTGGCTGGCACGCGCCACGGCTTGCCAAGCGCAACCAAGACCAGGCTGGTGTAGAGAAGAATATTCCTGTTGGGCCATAAACCCTAAACCCTAAACCCTAAATCCTAAATCCTAAACCCTAATTAAACCCTAAACCCAATCCCTAAACCCGAAATTAGGAGTAACCTCGGGCTGGTGTAGAGAAGGATATTCCTCTTGGGTTCTTGGGAGACTTGGGGTTTAGGGTTTACCCGAGATTTGGGGTTTAGGGTTCAGGGCTAGTAACCTGGGAACAACAAAAGCCCCCCCCCCCCCCCCCCCGCCGAAAACAAAGAAAAATCAGGGTCCTACTCTGGGTCATGGCTTTGGGTTCTAGGAGGAGCAAGAGACTTCGTAAGTTGCTGTTTATTTTAGTGTATAGGGTTTAACTACTGTCTAGAGTTTAGGGTTTAGGGACACATGAAGCCAGCCCAGCACAGATGCTATCCCCCCTGTCCACAACGCCCCTCGTATACGCCACCAGGGCCATGAAACCCTAATTGCAGCCTGAGGAGGGGAGGACAGGGCGCTGTCTAAGACCTTTGCGTGCAATAATCCGGAATGTCCAGAATACTTCCGTACGTACATCTCACGATCTTTCAAAACAACGAACCGTACGTCCTCAGCTCTACACCTAAACGCTACCTAAGCCTTACTACACTCCAAACCCGAAACCCTACAACCCAAACCCTAAAGCCTGAGCCCCTAGAACCTGAAACCTACCGACTAAAGGCGGAAGCCTAAAGCCAAGGCTCATAGTCACAAGCTTCACCGAGGTTGCGGGTATCAAGGGGCACAGCACCGTAAGGGCATTTCCTTGTCGGCAGACGAATGGGCTGACTTTGTTTCAGGCAGCCATGAACCGCAAAACCACCCAAGCCGTTTAACCCCTGCATGAACAGCTGACCGCGCCAGGGAGGAAGAAGGGATTGAACAATTAGAACGGCAAGGGAGTTCGGACTCTTGGGTTGATAGGGTTTAGGGTTGAGGGCTGAGGGTTTATCGAGGGTGCTTCGCAACAGTCCTGGCATCGTTTGCAAAGATGGTGTGGTGTCAAGTCCGGTTGCATCAAGGTGAAGAAGAGGCAACAACTGCATCTCTTAGTTTTTGGGTTCAGGATATATAACGCAACCCCAACCGGAAACGGACTTCAATCCAAGGGGCCCTCGAGTTATCAACATGATCCCGTATCATCTTTGTAGCCTGTATAAGCACAGGCTCACAACGAACCCCCTCTAGCCAAGTAAGGCCCCACAGAGTGCATACCTAGAGCCAAGAGTATCCCAGGAATACAAAGGGCAGGGAAGGGAACCTAAACCCTAAAGTAGGGAATAAGGGCCTACTCTGGGTCCTAACCCGAAGCCCTAAACCCTAAACGTCATCCTAAGGAATAAGGGAGGGTATGTTCTTGAGATTTGGGTCTGAGCTTTGTTGCGTTCCTCACCCTTTCTCCCCCCCCCCACCTCCCATGAACTTCCAAGTTTCAGAGGGTTTAGGGTTTATGGATGTAGGGTTTAGGGTTTAAGGAATTCCAGTATCTTTGCACTCGGGACGTAGCGAAAGCCACGGCTCCGAGCTTGCGGTCTTGAATGGGTTACAAGGTGGGGCCCCCTAGTTATAAGTAGAGTTCTAAGAGCCCTAAATTGGGTTATAAGGATCCTAAATTAGGTTATAAGTCCCTGAACTACAGTTAGTACAGTAAGGGGGCCCCTCCTTGTAGAGGTGTAGGGCCTTCGGGTTCATTTTGTTTGGGGGGGCCCGGGAGGTGGGGCTTCGGGCTTCTAGACCCGACCCAGGAATTTAAAAAACAAAAGAAGTTTTTGTAAACCATGTGTACCTGTAGTATACAAAAAGCCATGAGTAATTGTATGGTTTTGGGTAGCCCAAAACCCGAAACCCTAAACCCTCTAAACACCAAAGCCCAAACCCCAAAGCCTAAACCCTAAACCCTAAACCGTAAACCCCAAACCCTAAACCCTAAACCCTAAACCCTAAACCCTAAACCCTAAACCCTAAACCCTGCCGTCCATCATCGTACTACAGAGGGACCTTGCGGGGGGGTGTTTGGGGTACCGGGCGGCTGCCAAGGATGAAGATGGCGAAGAGCTCGGCGCCCGGTCTGAAGCCTGGGTAGCCCAGAAACCATATTGGGGTTTAGGGGTTTGGGGTTTAGGGTTTAGAGTTTGGGGTTGAGGGTTTAGGGTTTAGGGTTTAGGGTTTAGGGTATACGGGTTAAGATTAGGGTTTAGGGTTTAGGGGTTTAGGGCTTAGGGTTTAGGGGTTTGGGGTTTAGGGTTTAGGGTCTAGGGTTTAGGGTAAGAAGGGCACCCGTTTTGAGGGGGGTGGCTTAGTTTATAAGGGAACCAAGACACCCCCCCCCCCCCCCCCCCCCCCAAAAAAAAAAAAAAAAAAAAAGGAAGGGAAAGGGTACCACTGGGCTGCCCAGAAGCGTTGCCACAGGAACGAGCAGGCGCGAATGTAGCTGGCATCCGCCACTCGCACCTCGGCGGTTCTTTGCCGAGGGTCGCTGCAACTAGGCTAAGGGTTTAGGGTTAAGAGTTAAGGGTTTAGGTTTTCCCTAAAACCTAAACCCCAATGCCTAATTCAGCCTTTATTGGGTTTAATCAGGTTCAGAAGGGATCCTAAAACAGAAAGAAAGTGATTAGGTTATCCTACGATGAACAGAAACCCCGAAACCCTCAAAACCCTAAACCCTGACCCCGCAAGACTTGTATAGACAAGGTCCTTAAAGTTGGGGATGGCCCAGAGGGTTCGTTTGTAGCATTCTTATGGAATTAGGTGCCCAAAATCGCTAGTTAGCATGGTTTTGGGCACTGTACTTATCTCATAAAGGCCATAATCGTACTACAAACTTCAAGTTTCTAGATTAGGGTTTGGGGCTTGGCCTTTCAGGGTTATGGTTTCGGGCTTAGTAGGGAACCCTAGGGACACCTAGGGTTTGGGATTTAGGGTTAGGGTTCAGGCTTTAGAGCGGGGAGCGGTTTTTTTTTGAACGAACGTCAGGACCTGAGAAGTTCTGAAAAGTGCAGCGTTTGGAGTCGGGTCTAGGGTTTAGGGTGCCGTGTGAAGTGTGAAACCAACATACACAGCCATGAAACGCCACCAATGGCAGTGAGTAAGTTCACGCTCGATAATGAGGCTTTCAGCCACATGAGGTTAGGCATGTGGGGAAGCTCCCAAAACGAAATCCTAAAATCCTAAACCCTAAACTCTAAACCCCAAACCCTAAAGCAAAAACCCTAAACACCATGAAAATCCTAAACCGCAAAGCCTAATTCCGGAACCCTAAAGTCCTTCGGAATCTCACTAATATGTAGAAGGGCTTGGTTGTTTGATGGAGGGCGTCATACGAAACCTTTAAGCCCTATGGACCCTAAACCCTATAAACCCTAAACCTTAAACCCTCAACCCTCCCAAATAAGAGAAGGACCAGGCGCGCGCTTTGGGAGCTCGAAAACCGTGAGGTGAATACAAAATACCTTGGTGTCGGATCTGATCTGAAGCCTTCGGGTACCCAGAAAGCCAAGACGCCACAATCAAGGAACAGACCCTAAACCCTTATTAAACCCCAAACCCTCCAGATAGAACTCAAGGGGTATATCCCTCAATTAAGGGGCACTGGGCTCTCAAACTACCTACCCTAATGGCTGCACCTTCCTCTTCTCCTAAAGCACAGCCGGCGCGCTTCTCTTCTGCGAGTTTCTGTTTCAACATGCAAGAACAAGCTGCTCCACGATATTACCCTGCATCCCTACACGGATATTTGGAAGCTGAGGCCCTCACCAACAACATTTCGAAAAGGGTTTAGGGTTTAGGGTTTAGGGTTTAGGGTGCAGGGTTTAGGGCTTAGGGGTTTTTATGACCTATAAACCCTAAGATGATATGGCACAAAAAGACTGCCAGGAATTCTCGGGCGGTTCGCCAGAAAGGAGATCGGCATCAAGGTCGCCGCCGCCCCAATCGCGCTCATCTGCAAGTGAGCATCGCGCAGGTTGCAAAACACGGAGTCGTATTCTTGCCTCGAGGGGACGCCTTATCTTACTGTTGATTAGCAGGGAATGAGGGAATTGGGCCCTGTATCTACCCTTCACGGGATTGCATAGGGTACCTCATTCCCCCATTCCCTACTAACCAGGAGTAAGTTGTCCCTAAATCCTTGGACCTCAGCCTGCCCTGAACCCTAACCCCGAACCCCTAAACCCTAAACCCTAAACCCTAAACCCTAAACCTCTGCACTCAAACCGTGTCCTCGTGATTCGGTTTGGCTACAGCTTCTCCCATCTTGTGCTGTGTAGCCCGAATCTTCCAGAATAAGACAACCAATGAAACAAGAAGCCTGCACCCTAAACCCGTAACCCCATGACCCCATGACCCCATGACCCCATGACCCCTAAACCCTGAACCCTAAACCCTAAACCCTAAACCCTAAACCCTAAATAGCAAATTCTTGGGTCTTAAAGCACCGCCAATGTAGGGACTTTGGGGGCCGAAGTATGCAACAATGAAGCACATGGACCCCTAGGGCTTTGGACTCATATATATATATATATATGTATATATATATATATGTAAGAGGAACCTTTATGTATTATTAGGCATGTTCTCTTTGTTTTAATATGTTCTATACTACTGAAGGTTTCGGGTTTAGGGTTTAGGGTCTAGGCTCAGGACTCATCGGGACGTCTGCTACTTGGATTATGGGATTTAGGGTCTTAATGTTGGGAGTTAGCAAGAGTGTTTAAGCAAGCTAGATAACAACAAGGAAGAAAAAGGGACGAGCCACGAGCATAATGTAGAACAAATGACAAAGAGAAGTGCCCGCACTCAGCCTCACTGCATTCATCATCTAGTCCTCCCTTCTTTCTCTTCTGTGGTTCTCTTCTTGCAGAATGAACATTTAAGACCACAAACCAATCTCATTACTTTCATCCTCCCTCTTCTCTCTGCTCTCTCCCTTCTAGCTTTCGTCTTGTCTCGTTTTCTTGTGGAAGAGAGAATGCATAACACTAGATGAGCGAAGCACATGGACGGGAAGAGAGAGAAGCAAGTACTTGTTTGTTGCATAAGGGAGACACACTCTCCCCTAGGGCAGGGGTGAGTTCCCCGGTTCCCCTTTTTTTGCGTTCCAACGTTTCTATTCCTTTTAAAGAGAAAGAAGGGGGTAAACACAAGGACGAAGACGGTTCCCCTGTCCACTTGTGCAATTTTTTTGGACTTACCCATTCAACGAGAAAAGAACAGACAGCAAGAGGAAAGCAACAAACATTTGACTAACGTGCGGTTCTTTCAGGAGAAAAGGAGTCGGGTAACAGGAGAAGAACAACGAAGAGGTAAACATTCAAATATGTCATTCTTCTATTTACACACTGTCCTCATCTCTCCTCTCTTCCCTTTCTTGTTGGAAGAAGAAAAAAGGAAGGAAATAAACCATAAGGGGGAGGCGCCCCATCCTCCCCTCACCTCTCTTATCTCCCTCTCTGGCTTTGTTCTTGTCGGAAAGAGAGATGAATGTCCAAGAACCCAAGATCATCTCGTTACCTTCGTCCTCGCTCTCCTCTCTTCTCCCTTTTTCTCTGCTCTTTGCTTTTCTTATTGAAGAGAAAAACTGCAAGCAGTCTCGCGAAGTCGGATTTGGGGCTGCGCGCGTGCGAGTGGGGGCCTCCTTCCACAAACCCCTCGAGAGAAAGGAAACAGAAAGAAAGAACGAAACAAAGAAAGCAAGACAGACAGAAAGAAAGAAAGCAGGCAGCTGTTCGCTGCAAAGGGGTTTCGGCTCCCCTGTGCAGGCCTGGGTTCCCTGGGCTCCTCTTCGCATAGAGTGCGGTTGAGTTCCCTTATTCCTCCATTTTGCCTTCATGCCTCCACTGCGTTCCAACTTTTCTGAGCAGTACGCACAAGACAACACTAGGAACGAACAACAAATGACAAAGAGTAATGCCCGCGCTCAGTCTCACCGCATTCATCCTCTTATCCTCTCTTTGTTCTCTTCTGTGGTTCTCTTCTTGCAGAAAGACTTACGAACGGAAGCCAATCTCACTGCTTTCATCTTCCCTCTTCTCTCTGCGCTCTCCCTTCTAGCTTTTGTCTCTTCTTGTTTTTCTTATGGAGGAAAGAATGCATAACATTAGATGAGCGAAGCGTCTGGACGGGAAGAGAGAGAAGCAAGTACTTGTTTGTTGCATAAGTGAGGCACACTTCTTCCCCTAGAGCAGGGATGAGTTCCCCTGTTCCCTTCCTTTTGCCGTCTGTAATGCCTCCCCAGCGTTCCAACTTCTTTCTAAGGAGAAAGAAGGGAGTAAATACAAGGACGAAGACGGTTACCCTGTCCACTTGTGCATGTTCTTTTCGTCTACCCATTCAGCGAGAAAGGAACAGACAATAGGGGAAAGCACAAGGACCTAACAAGAGTGTCTAAGCAAGCTAATAACAAGAAAAAGAAAGAGAAAGCCACGAGCAGAATGTACAAGAAAAAACACAAGGAAGGAATAGCACATAATAAAGATAAGCGCCCTTGCTCAGTCTCACTGCATTCATCCTGCATGTGGTCCTCTTCTTGCAGAATGAAGATTTAAGAACACAAACCAATCTCACTACTTTCATCCTCCCTCTTCTCTCTGCGCTCTCCCTTCTAGCTTTTGTCTCTTCTTGTTTTCTTATGGAGGAAAGAATGCATAACGCTAGATGAGCGAAGCATCTGGACGGGAACAGAGAGAGAAGCAAGTACTTGTTTGTTGCATAAGGAGGCACACTTTCTCCCTAGAGCCGGGATGAGTTCCCCTGCTCCCCTTCCTTTTGCCTTCTGTAATGCCTCCCCAGCGTTCAAACTTCTTTTAAGGAGAAAGCAGGGAGTAAATACAGGGACGAAGACGGTTCCCCTGTCCACTCGCGCGTGTTCTTTTCGTCTACCCACTCAGCGAGAAAGGAACAGACAATAGGGGAAAGCACAAGGAACTAACAAGAGTGTCTAAGCAAGCTAACAGCAAGAAAAAGAAAGAGAAAGCCACGAGCAGAATGTACAAGAAAAAAGCACAAGGAAGGAATAACAAATAATGAAGATAAGCGCCCTTACTCAGTCTCACTGCGTTCATCCTCCATGTGGTCCTCTTCTTGCAGAATGAAGATTTAAGAACACGAACCAATCTCACTACTTTCATCCTCCCTCTTCTCTCTGCGCTCTCCCTTCTAGCTTTTGTCTCTTCTTGTTTTCTTATGGAGGAAAGAATGCATAACGCTAGATGAGCGAAGCATCTGGACGGGAACAGAGAGAGAAGCAAGTACTTGTTTGTTGCATAAGGAGGCACACTTTCTCCCTAGAGCCGGGATGAGTTCCCCTGCTCCCCTTCCTTTTGCCTTCTGTAATGCCTCCCCAGCGTTCAAACTTCTTTTAAGGAGAAAGCAGGGAGTAAATACAGGGACGAAGACGGTTCCCCTGTCCACTCGCGCGTGTTCTTTTCGTCTACCCACTCAGCGAGAAAGGAACAGACAATAGGGGAAAGCACAAGGAACTAACAAGAGTGTCTAAGCAAGCTAACAGCAAGAAAAAGAAAGAGAAAGCCACGAGCAGAATGTACAAGAAAAAAGCACAAGGAAGGAATAACAAATAATGAAGATAAGCGCCCTTACTCAGTCTCACTGCGTTCATCCTCCATGTGGTCCTCTTCTTGCAGAATGAAGATTTAAGAACACGAACCAATCTCACTACTTTCATCCTCCCTCTTCTCTCTGATCTCTCCCTTCTAGCTTTTGTCTCTTCTTGCTTTTCTTATGGAGGAAAGAATGCATAACACTAGATGAGCGAAGCATCTGGACGGGAAGAGAGAGAAGCAAGTACTTGTTTGTTGCATAAGGGAGGCACACTTTTCCGCTCTGTTCCACTCCTTTTGTGTTCGTTTATCCCTCTCTGCGTTCCAACTTTTCTGTTCCTTCTTGTAGGGACAAAAAAGGGAGGTGCGTAAAAGGACGAAGACGGTTCCCCTGTCCACTTGTGCAATTTTTTTGGACTTACCCATTCAACGAGAAAAGAACAGACAACAAGAGGAAAGCAACAAACATTTGACTAACGTGCGGTTCTTTCAGGAGAAAAAGGAGTCGGATAACAGGAGAAGAACAACGAAGAGGTAAACATTCAAATATGTCACTCTTCTATTTACACACTGTCCTCATCTCTCGTCTCTTCCCTTTCTTGTTGGAAGAAGAAAAAGAAAGGAAATAAACAAAACATAAGGGGGAGGAGCCCTGATTTATTCTCACTGTCTTCATCCATCCTTTCCTCTCCTCTCTTATCTCTCTTCTTTGGCTCTGTTCTTGCTGGAAAGAAAGATGAATGTCCAAGAGCCCAAGATCATCCCGCTACCTTCGTCCTCGCCCTCCTCTCTTCTCCATTTTTCTCTGCTCTTTGCTTTTCTTATGGAGGAGAGAATTGCAAACAGTCTCGCGTTGTCGGATTTGGGGCTGCGCGCGTGCGTGTGGGGGTCTCCCCCACAAACCCCTCGAAAGAAAGAAATAAAAATAGAAAGCAAGAAAGCGCAAAGATAGAACAAGGAAAGAAAGCAGGTAGCTGTTCGTTGCAAAGGGGTCTCGGCTCCCCCTAGTGCAGGCCTGAGCAGGCAGTTGTTCGTTGCAAAAGTGGCCCCTTTGGCTGAGTTCCCCTGTTCCCTCCAGTTTGTCTTCTGCAATCCACCCCCCTGACTTCCAACAGTTCTGTTCAGATAGGACAAAACGGCTCCCCTGTTCATTTGTGCATTTTCTTTTCAACAGACTCATTCGGCGAGAAGGAACAGACAACAAGAGGAAAACACCAAGGAATGAACAAAAGTCCGTTATTTTCGTTTTTCTTATCGAGGGGAGAAAGGGTTCGGAGAACAGGAGGAGTACAAAGAACAAATCAATTGTCGTAGAATACCTTATGCCCTCTCCTCTCGTCCCTTTCTTTGCTTTGGGAAGAAGAAAGAACGAAGGAAGGAATAAACA